AAACCTACCCCAATTCCCCCCCTCCCGGGGTCCCCTGCGAGCCCTCCGGGAATAGCCTCTCCCAGAATCCCGGTTTTCCCGGAGAAAACCGGCGCTCCCGCCTCGCCTGGGGCAGGTCAGGCCGGCTCCCGCCTCCTCCCCATCCGCTCCCGGGATTTGCTTCTCCAGCCTCCCCTGCGGGGGGTTCGGGCCCGTGCGAGCGGCTGGCACCCCGTAATCATTAACGCTAATTAACACCGGTTGCCCCCCCCGTCCTGATGGGGGTCGGGGAGCAGGGGAGGTGTGTGTGTGTGTGTGTATAAATGTGGATGCCACGCTTCAAACAGCCCCGATCGGACCCGGCTCCGCCGCCTGTATCGCTGTGGCGGTGCTTCCACACCCACGCGGGCTGTGGGGCTTTGTCCTCCCCGCTGCTCCCGGGGTCGTGTTCCCTCGCAGGTCATTCCCAGCCGTCCCCACGGGGTGTTTGGGGCAGCTCTGACCACCCACCCCCAGCCCCTCCTTTCCCCGGAGCCCCCCCGCAACAAGAGCAAGGCAGAGCCGTGAGGGCTGAGCCCGCCCGGGGAGCGGCTCCGTCTGCCGAGGAGGGGGGAGATGCTTCTCAAGAGGTGCTTTTTTATTTATGGCTCCCGTCGCCGGGATTTTTGGCAGGTGCGGGTTGTTTTTCTCCTGGAGTACACACACACACGCGAGCACGTGGGCCGCGTGTCTGTGTCAGATCCGGGGAGCCGGTGGTTTGCCGGTGTTTTTATTGGAGCCGGGAAGCGGCTGACGAGCAGTCCGGGGGGAACGAGTCGGGCAGGTCTTTGGCCCGGGCTGGGAGTGGAGGAGGAGGAGGCTGTTTCTCTTGGGTAAGGATGTCTGCTGGGATACCGGGATCTGGGGAAGGCTTGGGCGATCCAGACCCTCCTGGGGATGATGCTGCTGTGGGGTGTGAGGCTGGAGCAGACTGTGGGGTCTGCAGCTTCCTCAGAGGGGCAGCTCCGATCTCTGCTCTGTGTGAGCAGGGACAGGACTTGGGGAATGGCTGGAGCTGTCAGGGAGGTTTAGGTTGGATCTCAGGGAAAGGTTCTTCCCCCAGAGGGTGGTTGGGCACTGAACAGGCTCCCCAGGGCAGTGGGCACGGCCCCAGAGCTCCTGGAGTGTTTGGACAGCGCTCTGAGGGACAGGGTGGGATTGTTGGGGGTCAGTGCAGGGCCAGGAGTTGGGCTGGGTGATCCTTATGGGTCCCTTCCAACTCAGGATATTCTGTGATCTTGCTCCGGGAGGCTGATCCTGCTCCTGGGGGATGATGGCATTGCTGTAAACGAACTCTGACTAATTAGTCCTGGTGGGTCAGCGGGGTCACGTGAGGAGCTGGGAATAAACACCGTGGACTGTCGTGGGGGCTGTCAGCCCTGCTGGACCTGGGATCTGGGAGGTGGCAGCCCTTGGTGCTGGCAGGACACTGTGGCGGTGGGCACAGCGGTGGTGGCCCTGGCTGTGATCACAGGGCAGGACAAGGATCATCCATCACTGGGGGGACACAGCCCCAGGAGGGGCTGGAGCTCAGGCCAGCTGCCAGTGCTCCGGCTTATCCCTTAAAAAAGCCCCATAAAACAGGGCTGGAACCTTTTTTAGTGCAGTAAACCGTGTGCTGCTGCTGCTGCTGGCATTTCCTGCTTCCCTGTCAGAGCAGATGTGGGTCAGGCTCCTCCGTGGCTCCACTGGCTGGGATGAGGGGATGAAGGAGTGAAGGGATGCTGGGGCTGCACCCTCTGCCCACACCGGTGCAGTCACAAGAATAACTTTGGCTCTGAGGTGTAATTTTTGAGCTAATTTTAACACTTCCACATGGGGAGCACTTGCTGCTCCCTGACTCTCTGGCACCGCCAGGCCGGGCATGGAGTGGGGTGTCCCGAGGGCTTTCAACATCAAAGCCTTCACCTACCCTTTAATTTTCCCCCAAATAGTTGTGGGGGGGTGGGGTGGGGGAGGCAGAGGGGGGAAGAGGAGTTTATTTTCCTGCCTCACCGCTGTCCCCCTGTCCCGCAGGTGCCAGTGTCGAGTCCCTCTCGGTGTATGTGTGGTAACAACATGTCTGTCCCCCTCCTCGCCGACGCCGTGACCGTCTCAGGGGCAGAGCGGGAGACCGCTGCGGTAAGGGAGGGACCCCATCCTGCTGCTGCCACCTCCCTCCTGGCAGGAGGCTGGAAAACAGGGAGCTGCTTCCATGAGGTTCAGAGGAGCCTTGAGCCCAGCCTGTGGTCCCTCAGCTCATGGGGGGTGGGGGAGGCAGGGCCAGCCAGGGCTCGCCTTGCTGGGGAAGAGTGACTGTCCTTGGGCTGGGGTGTTCCAGTGTGGCAGCACAGGCACGGCCTGGCAGCTCGGCCTTGGAAGCTGGAGCTGAATTGGCTGTTTGAGCTTTTGAAAGAAAACACAGTCCCCCACTGGGCCTTCCCTGGGGTGCCCAGGCTGCTTTCCCTCTGTCCCCCATGGCTTAGGGGTTGCTGTAGCCTCAGATGAGAGCCCGTGGGGATGGGTTTGTGAGGGCTCGGTGATATACAGAAAAAATTCCTCCCCGTGAGGGTGGGCAGGCCCTGGCACAGGTTTGCCCAGAGAAGCTGTGGCTGCCCCATCCCTGGAAGTGTCCAAGGCCAGGTTGGAGCAACCTGGGCTGGTGGAAGGTGTCCCTGCCCAGGGCAGGGGGTGGCACTGGCTGAGATTTAAGGTCCCTTCCAACACAAACCATTCTGGGGTTCAGGCTGGGCCTCTTCCACATCCCTGATCCACCCATCCCTCACGCTCCAAACAGCACAGACGTGTCCTGAGCGTCGCTGAGTTGAGTCTCTTCGAGGCAGTGACTCAGTGCCCATTTGCCACCTCACTGCCGGCCCAGCCCAGCCCTGCCCCTCTCCCAGGGCTCCAACTCTCACACCAGCTAATCCTCTCCTTTTTCTCTTTGACAGGTCATTTTCCTACATGGCCTTGGAGACACGGGGTGAGTGTCCCTGGAGCAGGCTGTGCCTGGGATGTGTGGCTTTGCTGACGTTTGTGTTTTGCCCTTTGCCGCTGCTGTCCCCCGGCGGGGAGGGAAGGGCTCTGATATCCGTGTGGGGCTTGGGGCTGGGGTCCATAGGTTTTCCTGCACCACCCCTGACAGGGAATGGCAGGGAATCACAGGGAATTGAGGCCGGCAGCTGTCTGCACTTGAATATTTATGATGCCGGCAGCCTGGCGGCCCCCACCCCCCGCGGGTGGATTCTGTGCTGCCTTTCAGGATTGCTGATAAGCACTGCGGCTTTTCCAGTCCTTGGGAGCGCTGGGAGCCGGGCTGTGCCTGGCCCAGGGCATCTCTGGTGTGCAGAGCCGCCTGGGGAGGACAGTGTGGGGTATGGAGGTGACAAAGGGGCTCCTTCCCTCTGCAGGAGATCCCCTCGTCCTTGTCCTCCCTGCCTCCAGCTCCTTTGTGTTCTGCCCTCGCCCTGATGCAGAGGGGGATCAGTGCTGGGGCTTCACGGGGGGATCAGGCTGTTGGGGTGGGCAGGACCTGGTAAAATAACATCAGGGAAGGGGCAGGGGGGGCAGAATCCTTGGGGGAAATGGCTCAGACAAGCCTTGAACACCCTCTGCCCTCCCCTCTCTCGCAGGCACAGCTGGGCCGACGCTCTCTCCTCCATCCGCCTCCCCTACGTGAAATACATTTGCCCTCACGCGTAAGTGCTGTCCTTGCCTGGGGGATACCCCGAGGGGGGAGTTGTGGGGGGGACTGTGAGGCTGCCAGGGCTGTTTGTTGGGGCAGGCAGATGGTGGCCTGAGCCGTGGGGCTGCACAGCCAGGCTGGCTCAGCTGCCGTGGCCGGTTCCTGCTGCAGGCAGGGCGGTTCCCCACAGAGCTGACCAGCACAGGAGCTGCTGCTCTGAGGCTCTTTTCCTCCCCTCTTGTCCTCTGCTTATCCCTGGTGGCTGCAGTGAAAGCCAGAGGCACTGGAGCTCCTTCTCCATCCTCTGGTCAGGCAGGAGAGGGCTCAGCAGAAAGGGAAGGACACGGCCCTGATGTGTCCCCAGTGCCAATAACACGTGCAGGGGGCACTCACTGGGCTGGGAGAGCTCTGCTGTCCCTTTCCAATGTCCCATCTTGGCCTTGGGAGCAGCAAACACGAGAGGGATGCAGGTGCTCTGCTCCCCAGCTGGGCTGCTTGGCAGTGCCCTGGAGCCTCCAGCTCATCCAGGGCCTGCTCAGGGATGGCAGGTGATCCCCAGGGTCACCTTGCAGCCCCAGGGCCGGGTCTGGTGGCCCTGACCTGCCACTTTCCCTTGGGAGTCGTGTCCTGCAGCTGTGGACAGGAGGGACAGTCCCCTCCCTGTGCCCCTTGGCTCTGCCTGGAGCTAAACCAGCCACGCTGTTTCTCCGCAGGCCCCGGATCCCGGTGACCCTCAACATGAAGATGGTCATGCCCTCCTGGTCAGTGCTTTGGGGGACCCTTTTTGGGGGAGTGGGAGGGATGAAGAGGCAAAACCCACTGCCCTGTGGGGGTCTGGGAGGGCAGAGCACACCCAGCTCCTGCCTCCCCACACCCTGGGTGCTGGGAGGGGTTGGGGCTCACCCTGCTGCTTCTCCCAGGTTTGACCTCATGGGATTGACTCCGGATGCACCTGAGGATGAAGCTGGGATCAAGAAAGCTGCAGAAAACAGTAAGAAGCTTGGGGGAGGGGGAAGTGGCGAGCTCCTGGGTGCCTCTCCCTCGCTGGGGCTGAAGTGGGTGTTTTCTTTCCACCTCTCCTTTGTTTCTGCCCTCCTGTGATCCCAGTCCACCTTCTCCCTGGGATCTCTGCTTCTCCCTGGTGTGCCAAATGTCCTGTGTGCACCTAGAAGTGTCGGGTGATGCTTCTCACCCCCTCCCCACCTTCCACTGACCCGTTTCTCCATCCCCTTCCAGTTAAAGCAATTATTGAGCACGAGATGAAGAACGGGATCCCCGCCAACCGCATCATCCTGGGGGGCTTCTCACAGGTGAGCCGGAGCACATGAGGGTCGGGACCCTCATTTGCCCTCCAAAGACCCCTCTCAGAGGGACATTGAGGCGGGTGAGTGCGCCAGGATCCCTCCCAGCACTAACTGCCTCCTCCTCTGCTCCAGGGCGGTGCCTTGTCGCTGTACACGGCTCTCACCTGCCAGCACCAGCTGGCTGGAATCGTGGCGCTCAGCTGCTGGCTCCCGCTCCACAAGGCCTTCCCACAGGTATCCCACGCATCGAGGGGTGGGGCAGGGAGGGTTTTCCCACCTGGAGTTCTCCAGAGCGGAGTTTCCCCGCGGCCCTGTTGAGCAGGGAGCTGCCGGGTGGTGCGCTGGGCACAGGGGATGCAGCACTGCTGCCCATCCCTGCTGGAATGGCCTCACCTGAGCGTTTCCTTCTCGCGGCAGGCGGCGAACAACGGCGTGAACAAGGACATCGCCATCCTGCAGTGCCACGGGGAGATGGATCCCATGATCCCCGTGCGCTTCGGGGCCCTCACTGCCGAGAAGCTGAAATCTGTCGTCACCCCCACCAAGGTCCAGTTCAAAACCTTCCCCGGCGTGATGCACAGTTCCTGTCCTCAGGTCAGTGCCGCGGGAGGGGATGGGTTTCCCCCCAGGAATGTCTCTGCTCTCAGTGAGCAGGGATGGGACACAGGGAAGGGCTGGAGCTGTGTAAGGGCAGGCTCAGGTTGGATCTCAGGGAAAGGTTCTTCACCCCAGAGGGTGGTTGGCACTGAACAGGCTCCCCAGGGCAGTGGGCACAGCCCCAAGGCTGCCAGAGCTGCAGGAGGGTTTGGATGATCCTCTCAGGGACAGGGTGGGATTGCTGGGGTGTCAGTGCAGGGCCAGGAGTTGGACTGGATGATCCTTGTGGGTCCCTCCCAGCTCAGGATATTATGTGATTCTGTGACCCTCGGGGTCTGGAATCGCCTTTGGCATCTTTGGGACCATCCCCAGCGCGGCGGGTCAGGGAAAACACACGGGATGGGTTTGTTCCCAACTCGCTCCAGGGAGGCTGCACAGCCCCTGCGCCCCCATTCCCAGGGCAGGGCCCACCCTTTGGGGTGTCCTTGGTGCCCTTGGGGTGACGGGCCCCGCGCTCCCCGCAGGAGATGATGGCGGTGAAGGAGTTCATCGAGAAGCTGCTGCCGCGGATCTGAGCGGAGCCGCTCGGGACTGTCGCAGGGGAGGGTGCCGAGGTCACCGCCGCCCATCTGCCCCCGTGACCCGCCCGCTGCCAACAGAAGCCATGGCCCCCCACTGCACCTCCCGCTGCCCCCACTGCCCCCACCGCCGCCTCTCACCGCGCCCTCTCGGGCCGGGGGTGCCCCGGCTGGCCCTGCTGCTCTCGGAGCCGAGGTTGGAGCTGTCGAAGGCGAGTCTTGGAGTGGCCTTTCCTCTCCTCCTCCTCCTCCTCCTCCTCCTGCTCCGAGCGGGTTCCGCGGGGGTCACCGTCCCCTGGGCCCCGCGGCCTGCGGGGCTGGCATGGGGCAGGGGAGGTGTTTCTGTTGGGTTTGGGTTTTTTGTACCAGTATTAGGGGCGGGACGTGCCCGGGTGCGGAGAGGGGAGCGTGGCGGGCACAGGGCAGGGCTGGGGCACCCCTGTGTCTCGGCCCGGGCTGTGCCCTCGGGGGCTGCTCTCGGCCTCCCCTCAGGCGACTCACGGGTTTTCAATCAGAGCTCAGGAACCCGGGACTCCCCTGCAGACGCCCCCAGGCCCCGGGGCGGGCTCTGCCCTGGGCCGGTACCGCCAAAGGCTGCCCAGGGCCGGGGCAGGGTCAGCGCAGCCCCCGCACCTCCCGCACGGCCCCGCCTGTCGCACACGCACACTCCCCCCGGCCTGGGCAGCTCTGCCCCCCTGAGATAATCGCCTCCTTCCTCCTCCTCTTGTTGCTTTCACAATCTCCTCCTCGGCCCTGCGGGGGTCCCAGAGGTGTCTCCCCCCATCCCCAGCCCAGCTCTGAGCCCTGACGCTTCGTTTACAGTCACAGACGGAGCCGTCTCCGGCCCCGTCCTTAATGTCTCTCTTGCTGCTACTTGTCCTTTCCTTTGGACTTGGGCTGGCTCGGGGAGGGAGAGGTGATGTCCCTGGACCCCAGGTTTGGCTCCTGGCGCAGCTGGAAGAAGCAGCTTTGCCCCCAAGCCCTCATCTCACCAGCGTCTGAGGCCTGGGTGCCGCTGCGCCCCGTCCTGTGGGCAGTGCGAGGGTCTCTCTGCTCCCTGGGGCTGTGGGCTCTTGTCCCACTGTGTACAATCACAGGGTCCCCTGGGTCCCTTGCCCATGGGTTTGTCCTCTCCTGAGTGCTGGCATCGTGCTGGCTGCGGGGCCGGGACCGTCCCCAGCAGCTCCCCGGGACAGGGCCCCGAATGTCTCCTCTGGGTGGGCTCCTGGCCCCCCCTCCCCTCCCCTCCCCTCCTGCAGTGGCTGTTGAGCAGCGCTGCCCTCGCCTCCCCCTCGGGCTGAGCCCACACCCCATGGCCTGGGGCTCATCATGTATTTTAGAACTCCCCCACACCACCCCTGGCCCCAGGGCTGTCCCCACTCCCCCCTGGTCTGGGCCCAGCCCCTCACCCTGCGGAGCCTCTGCCCGGTGCCCCAGGACCAGCAGTGGGCTGGGGCCAGGGCTGGCACCTCCCCAGGGCCAGGGGCTGCTCTGGGGGCTGCTGGGGGGCTCTGGAGGGGGCTCTGCTCCAGCCATGCCCCCCCAGCCCGGGATGCCCAAAGCAATAACCCGCTCTCCGGAGAGTTGGATCTGTGGGACCCACCCTTGGTTGGGTTCTTGGCTTGGGGTTTGGTTGGGTTTTTAATTTTTTTCTCCCCTTCGGGAAGTCTTAAACCAGCAAAGCTGGTGCTGGTGTTGGGGGGGAGCCCAGCACTGCCCCTTTCCCGGGGGTCAGTCCTGCTGGGGCTTCTGTGTGGTGTTTTAACACTGCTCTGTCCCCTCTCCCTGTGCTGGGCCAGGGTGGGGGCACGGGGGGCTGGCTGGGGTGGGAATGCAGCCCCCTGTGGATCACTGAGGGCTGGCTGGGGTGGGAATGCAGCCCCCCGTGGATCACTGAGGGCTGGCTGGGGTGGGAATGCAGCCCCCCGTGGATCACTGAGGGCTGGCTGGGGTGGGAGTGCAGCCCCCCGTGGATCACTGAGGGCTGGCTGGGGTGGGAGTGCAGCTCCCTGGGGGGGTACCAAGGGCTGATGATGGACAGACCGACCTGATTGACTGTGAACTGGAACCGTGTGCGATGGGGGGGGCCTGGGACCATCCCTGGGGGGGGGCCTCGTTTGTCCCCCCTTCCTGCAGAGCATTCCTGCTCACTCCCCACCTGGGAACCCGGGAGGGAGAATGGCTTCTCTCCATTCCTCAATACAGCTTTTGGGTTTTTTTCTTCTTTTTTTTTTTTTCCTCCCCTTTTTTTTTTTTTTTTTCCTTCTCTCGTCTTCCTTGTACATGTTTGGGGTTTTCTGTGTGTGTGTGCGTGCGTTCCACAGAGAAACAAGGTTAAATAAATCCTGAACCTACCCCGGAGCTGAGCTGGCCTCATTCCTGCCTGGGCAGGACCCCCCAGCAGCACCTCTGGGAGGGAGGGGTGGGGAGGGCAGCGGGTTAGAACGAGGCCCCAGGGTGCCATTTCTGGGGGGCAGCAGCTCCGGCTGAGGGGAAGCAGAACAAAGCCGCCACTTAGAAAGTAGGAAAGTTTATTTAAAAACAAATCAAAAGCTCAATTCATAATTTAGAAGCATAAGTTATTCATCCAGCCGCCAGCAAAGGGGGCCGACTGCGTCATCCCTGCCTGACAGAGCCCTGGGAGCTGCCAGGAATAAACAGGAGCAGCACGAGAGGCTCCTGGGCAGCCTTTGGCAACGGGATTTGGGAAGCGGCTGCCACAGGGAACGTGGAACCAAAACCAGGCACCAGTGGGGTGATAACCCGGGCCAGGCTGGCACTGCCCTGGCAGGGGGTTCTCTGGCTCAGCAGGAGCACGTGGGATGAGATTTGGTCCCCAAAACCATGCTGGGGGTGGGGAAAGGTGGGTGTGGGTGTGTGCAAAGCCCTTGGCCCCGGAGACCTGGGCTGGGGAAATGAGCCATGGTGGCCTTGGAATGTGACTGGTCCCTGTGGGAGTGGGGAAGGGGGGTGTTCCTGGGGCTCAGCACCTTCTCCCTGCCCAGGGCAGGGGCTGTGGGTGCCTCCCCCCGAGACCAAGAGCCAGGTGGGGCAGCAGGGAATGGGTGGGGGGGAGTTCCTCTGCAGTTTGGGCTCAGCAGGACTCCCAGTGTCCAAGTGCTGGATGCAGCCACTTCCCAGGGCACAGGGAGGGAGCTGCAGGACCCAGCCAAGCACAGCCCCTGGACATTCCCGTGGGGGGTTCCATGGGAGCCAAACCAAGCCCTGGCTCTTCTCTCCGTTGTGGTTCTGCTCTGTGAGATGCAAAGGACCCGAGGGGGATGAGGATGAGGAGCAGGGAGGCTGAGGATGCTCCAGCCTTCCTGTCCCGTGCCAGAGGCAGGAGGGGGAGCTGGAGCTGCTCCCAGGATGGTGTTGGCCCTGCTGGGGCTGCGGGAGGCAGGAAGGGCTGGCCTGGAGCAGCCCCCGAGCCCGGCCAGCCCTCGGCCCCAGCTCAGTTCTTGCTGAAGCCCGTGGGATTCTGCAGCTGCCACCGCCACAGGTCCTCACCTGGAACGGGGAGAGGGGAGGTGAGGGTGGGCCAGGCCTGGCACTGCCCCATGTGCCAGGGAGGGGGTGTCCTTACACATCTTGTCCAGCCCAAAGGCAGCTTTCCAGCCCAGCTCCCGCTCGGCCAGCGCTGGGTCCGCGTAGCAGGAGGCCACGTCCCCCTCCCGCCGGGCCGTGACCTTGTACTTGATCTGTAGGGAAAGCAGCTCTGGGGGCTCAGGGAGGGGACTGAGGGGGGGGCTGCTGTGGCAGTGATGGTTTGGGGAGGGGGCTGAGGGAGGGTTGGTGGGAGCAGCTGGTTCTGTGCCCTGCAGGTCAGGCCTTACCTCCCTCCCCGAGGCTTTCTCCATGGCCTGGACCATCTGCAGGACAGAGTAGCCGGTGCCTGTGCCCAGATTGTAGATCTGGGAAGAGGATAAAGGGACAGGGATCAGCTGCTTTTGGAAGGAGACAAGGGCCAAACCCCGCCTCTATCTCCCCTGAGGACCCCACGCCCCCCAGGGCTGGCAGCCCCCCCGGGGTACCTTGCAGCCACAGTTCTCCTTGAGCTTCTTCAGAGCAGCAATGTGGCCCTTGGCCAGATCCACGACGTGGATGTAATCCCTGACTCCTGCAGGGAGCCAGAGGGTGAGGGCAGAGCCCCGTGCTTGGGGTGACCCCAGGCTGGGGGGGCTGCAAGGGCAGTTCTGCTCCACCCTTTCCCCGCCGTACCCGTTCCGTCATCCGTCTTGTAGTCGTTCCCAAACACGCTCAGGAATTCCCGGCGTCCCACTGCCACCTGAGAGAGGGACAAGGAGCCCTGTCAGCCTGTGCCCCCCCCCCTCCCCACCCCATGATCCCAGGGGTCCCCAAAGGCTGCAGTGGGGCGGTACCTGCGCCACGTAGGGCATGAGGTTGTTTGGGATCCCCTGAGGATCCTCCCCGATCATCCCCGACTCGTGGGCACCGATGGGGTTGAAGTAGCGCAGGAGAACGGCGTTCCAGTCCTGGGGGGGGGGACACGGACACTGCCTGGGTGGGTGCCTGGGGGGCTGCCTGCTCACCCCTGCCCCCTGCTCCCAGCCCAAAGGGGCAGCCCCTCACCCGCTCTGCTTTGCAGAGATCCCGGATCATCTCCTCGATGAAGAACTTGGATTTGCCGTAGGGGTTGGTGCAGCCTCCCACCGGGTGCTTCTCGTCCAGGGGGAGGTATTTGGGGTCCCCATAGACGGTGGCAGAGCTGCTGAACACGATGTTCCTCACGCCGTGGGCCTGCATGGTCTGGGGGGGACAGGAACAGCCAGCACTGAGTCAGGGGGATCCCTGTGCTGAGGGCCAGCCCTGCCCAGGCACCGCCACATCCCGGGACAGGGGCTGGGCATGGGGAGCACCGGGAGCAGCCCACGGAGCAGCACAGCCACCTCAGCACAGGATCACACGCCCTTGTTCCTCCTGTGGAACCCAGCCAAGATCCTGGCCTCTCCCATATCCCACAGCAGAGGTCCCTCAGGCTTTACCCCGAGGCAGGGAGTTCTCACAGCGTTGATTTGGGTGGTCTCTGCTCTTTTCCACCCATTCCCCGTTTTTCCTGCAGCTCTGAAGTCCCCCCTTTACGGTGGTCCCAGCCCCCCTGCAGCCCCTCAGCACCAGCCCGAGCACCCCCCCCTCACCTCCAGCAGCCGGATGGTCCCGGTGAGGTTCACTCTGTAATATTCCAGAGGCTTCTGCACCGACTCCCCCACCGCCTTCAGCCCCGCGAAGTGCAGCACGGCCGAGAACTGGTGCTGCACGGGGGGAACAGCAACAGGACATGGGATTTCTGGGCAGGAACCAGCCGGGATTCCCCCCAGGAATTCAGCCCCCCCGGGGGGGGTTCCACGCCCCGCAGGAACAGGGATTCCCTCAGCTCTGCCCTTTTCCCCCCCAGTGAGCCCAGGGCACCGCAGCTCCCGCTCTCACCTTCCCGAAGAGCTCCTGGAGCGCGGCCCCATCGGTGATGTCCAGCTCCTGGAACAGGACGGGCCGGTGCGCGATCTGCTCCACCCGCCGGAGGCTCTCGGGCAGCGCGTCCGACCCTGCGGGGATGGAGGGGCGTGAGGAGCTGGGATTTCTGGGGGGTGCCCGGGCAGGGACGAGGCTCCTCCGTACCTCGGATGGCGTTGTGGAAGTTGTCGATGACCACGGGGACGTATCCAGCCTCCAGCAGCTCCAGCACGCAGTGGCTGCCGATGTAGCCGGCGCCGCCCGTCACCAGGACCTTCTCGGCCATGGCTCTCCCTGGGGCAGGAAAATCCCTCGGGCTCCGTGTGGGGCGGCCTGGAACGGGCACGGCTGGGGCACTGTCACGTCAGCAGCGCCTCCCGCCCTTCCTGCAGCTCTCCCGGGGACGGGGATGGGCTGGAGCGCGCCCTGCCAGCCCGGGCACACCTCCCGGACACGGAGGGTGGGTCTGGCACCGCCACAGCCCGGGAAAAACCCTCGCCCTGCCCGAGAGATCCCGGTCTCTGCCGCATCCCACAGCGCAGACCCCTGGGGGTTCACCCCAAAGCACAGGGGCAGGGATGAATTTGGGTGGTCTCCGCAGTGGGGTCGGCTCTGCCCCTTTCCCCACCCATCCCCTGGTTTTCCTGCGGGTCTGGAATTCCCCCCCCTTCGCCGCCCTTCCCTGGGCTGGCCCCGCTCCCCGGGACACTGCGGGGATGTCTGTGGGACCCGGGAGATCCCGGGAAGGAGCAGCAGCTCCTGCTCCACGCCCGGAGGGAAGGACCGGCCGTGTCACCGGGATGTGGGACCAGCACGGGGAGAGCTTCCACCCCCCCAAAACGCTGGGAGGGCAGTGCCGGGGGGGAACAGCCCATTCCCATTCCCATTCCCATTCCCATTCCCATTCCCATTCCCATTCCCATTCCCATTCCCATTCCCCGCTCACTCACTCTCCGCTCCCGCTCCGGCTGCGGGCGCGGCCCCTTTAAGGCCCCTCCATGGAAACGTGTCCCCCCCCGCTACGGGAACCCGGCGCGGACAAAACACCTCCGAGGGACGGCGGCGCCTGGCGGTGGGAGGAGGGAACTGCTCCCTCCCCAAAATCGCCCTTTATTGCCCCATTCCACCCCATTTCAGCACTTCGTATTTGAAGGTTTATTTAATTGCTGCAGTTCATTGAAGGGATGGGAGAGACAGAGCTGTAGGCAAAGAAAGGCGCAGCCACAAACCCCACCCAAAGGAAGGACGAGGCTCCCGCCTCGCAAATGAACTGTTAAAATAAATTATTTTAAATAGAAGATTTTTTTTGGGGGGGGAAGTGACCTGTGAGGAGCAGGGGGTGTTTACACACTGCCATAGCTCCAGGTGATGTGGTTTCCCCACAGAGGAGGCACTTGGAGCCAAAGCAGCAGCTTTAAGTGGTTCAGTTTATTAGAAACGTGATTTGTTCAGAATGTTAAATAATGTGTTTGTCATCCTAGTTTTTAAAGGTATCTTACAACAGATACACAGTCCTTTGCCACAGTCCCTGTGAGGAGAGCAGGGAAGGGCAAAGCCTGGCCTGGAAAAGTGCTCCAACTGGAAAAACTGTGCATTATCCTTGGCTGGTGGCCTAAGGCTCAAGGCAGGAGTCAGTGGATGCTGGTCTGACCAGAGCCCATCCACATCCTCCCTTCCCTAAGGCAAATGGTGACATTCTCAAGGTCAAATACAACATTCTCCCTCCTTTCCTCATAAATTCTGGTGGATTACGACTTTCCTCTCAAGTGCTGAGCCAGGAAGGAGCACTGGAGATCAGAGAGGAATTCCAGGCAGTGCCAGGTCCTCGCTTTCTTCTCCACCCATGGAGAAACCCCCCTCAGTGTCACAGTCTGCAGGACGCCTGGGACACCTTGGAGTTGGTTCTTCGGTTGAGAGCGTTGCAGATGAAGGTGCCCGTGTCCATGAGCTTCTGCAGATCCACACCCTGCCCGGGGGAAACACAGCACAGCCTTGGCACTGCTTCTGCTGGAACAGCTGCCCAGTAACAACTGGGATCACTGGGAGAGCCTAGCAGGGGGTGAGGGAGCCTCTGGAGGGAACTTTATGGCAGCCCCACTGACAGCAAGGGCGTGATCTGGGAGAGGATCCCCGAGTGGTCTGGGTTGGAAGGGACCTTAAAGCTCATCTCATTCCAGCCCTGCCACGCCTTCCAGGATGCCAGGCTGCTCCAGCCTGGCCTGGGCACTCACCGTGTGGATGCCCAGCCCGTTCAGCATGTACACCAGGTCCTCCGTGGCCACGTTCCCCGACGCTCCCTGCGCGTAGGGGCAGCCCCCGAGCCCGGCCACGGACGCGTCCACCACGCTCACCCCCATCTGCAGAGACACCCACACACACCACGCCCAGGCATGACTGCCCTGCCAGCACAAACTCCCGCCCCTCACAGCTTCAATCCACAATCACCTGGGCTATTGGGAAGTGTCCCTGCCCAGGGGGAATGGAATGGGATTAAAGCTCCCTGCCAACCCCAACCACCCCGTGAGCCTGTGATCCAAAGGGAGGATCCTACCTGGAGGGCCACCAGGATGTTGGCCAGGGCTTGTCCGTAGGTGTCGTGGCAGTGAACAGCCAGAGCCCCCACGGGCACCTCCTTCATCACCATGCTCAGCATCTCCTTCATGCTGCCGGGGGTCCCCACGCCGATGGTGTCCCCCAGGGAGATCTCGTAGCATCCCATGGAGTACATCTTCTTGGAGACCTGTCCAAAAGCCAGGCTGTGCCCTGGGAAGCACCTCACCCCCCCTTCCCCAGAGCTGCACGCAGGGACTGTGATGCCCTGGAGCCTTCCCTTTCCCAGGCTTTGGTTAAATGGTTTGACACCCCCCATCCTCCAGCAGTACCCAACTCATATCCCTAAAAATGAGGCAAAAACTTCCTCAGAACTTGTGGTTGTGTTTATGTTTAACTTACCTCTGCAACTTTAGCTGCAGAAATCTTCCCTTCATAGGGGCATCCAAGGACACAGGAGACATATCTGTGGTGAAGAAAAGCACACACTTCTTAGCTAGAAAAATGGCAAGGCCATTCTGCTGGCCAAATCAGTCAGGACTTGTGCATCCTGTGTGTCTTTAGGATGGAAGAATTAATTTCATGTTCCAAAAGTTCAGGGGCCAAATCTTACAGAATTAATTACTGAACAATTACAGAATAAACTGCTCAGCAATTGCTTCTTCCATGGACATGAAAAATCTACCAAGACAAGAGCATACAGCATCCCTGGGATTGTGATCTATGCACTTCCAGGTGGAATGTCTCCCAAAAAATAGAAGTTGAGAAGAAATCCCACTCCTCAGTGCTGCATGGGCTGGGCTCCAAAGGGATAAAGTCCAGCACAACCTGCTCAGTGCCGAGGTGGCTGCAGGAATTCCTTACCCCCTGACAGGAATGCTGGCTGCAGGAATTCCTTACCCCCTGACAGGAATGTTGGCTGCCCTTGCTGCTGCCATCACCTCGCTGAACCTCTCCAGGCTCTCCTCGATGGAACAGTTGATGTTCTTCTTGGTGAACAGCTCGGACGCTGCTCCAAAGATCGACACCTCCTTGGCCCCTGCAGCCACCTGCAAATGAACATCATCATAAACTGGAACCACACAACCAGTAAAGCTGGAAAAGACCTCTGAGAGCAGCAAGTCTGCTGAGGTTCTGCCAGCTGGTGAGGTTGTGCCAGCCCTTACCGCCGCCTGGAACCCCTTCAGGTTGGGGGTCAGCACAGGGTAGCTGATCCCAGGCACTTTGTTGATGCCCTGCATGACCTCGGTGTGATCAGCCATCTGCAAAGAAACCAGCAGAGCTCTGTAACAACCTATAAAATAACCCCTCAGATGTCCTTCTGTAAGGGGAACAGAAATATTTAGGGCTGAGGGAGATGGGCCTCTGAAAGCAAACACTGCACGCACTGGGAGGGATCGGAGGTCAGTCACCCAGCCAGGCCAACATGCACACCCAGCTGTGCCTCTGCCCTTCCCCAGGGTCCAAAGGGGAAGTCTGGAATATGGAAAATATTCCCAGCGGGAACACCGACCTGAGGGACCCACTTGGGGGACACAAAGCTGGTGGCCTCTATGACCTGCAGCCCCGTCTCTGACAGCATGTTGATCAAACTGATCTTCACCGGGGTGGGCACGACGTTCTGAGGGGAAAAAGAGGAAAAGACAAGAAAAACGACCTCAAGTCGTTTATTTCCACAGCGAACTTTTCGCCAAAGGAAAAAAAAAAAAAATTAACAAAAAAATTTGTTTCTCTAGGTTAAAAAAGCGGCAGTTAAAGAAAAGGAAAAAGAAGGTAGGAGAAGAAGGGAAAGAAGAAGGAAAAGAAGGGAGAGGCCGAGGTTGAGCCCCCAGGAGCCCCCCCTGTACCTTCTCGTTCTGGAGCCCATCACGGGGTCCCACCTCCACCACCTTCACCTTCCTCGGGTACGGCCCCGCCGCCGCTGCCACGCTCACCTGGCACGGGGGGCAGAGTCAGCAGGGACCCCAGAGCCCCCCTCAACCCGCTCTGCCCCCGCCCCAACCCCATCTGGGTCTGGTCCAGCACCCCCATCCCGCTCACCCCCAGCCCAGTGACCCCCCCGGTCCCTCGTTTTCCCCCCCAGTGAAAGTGGCTGTGTGATGAGTTAGTTTTGGGGACTGCTACACTCCAGAGAGCTAGATCAATGGTTAAGTGAAAGTGCTCTAATCTTCAACCAAAGATGTGAAAATACATCCTAGAAAGCTAAATCAATCCAAGGTTAAGTAAAAGTTTAAGTTGTCTTTAACTAAGGATTGATGTTGGTGTCTCGCGGCAATAAAACACAGAACTATTTCAAAGGTTAAGTAAAAGAAGCCTAAGTTATCTTTAACTAAAGATTAATGTTGACACCTTGTAGCAATGACATGACTGTCCAGGAGGGGCTTGAGACCTTAAAGGGTATAAAAGCTCGCAAAACCCTTGTTTCGGTGGGGTGTTTATGGAGGAGCTACCCCTGACACTACCCCGAGGGCATGGCTTAAAAACATCATGCTAAATTTGATTTCTCTGAATCACCTCGATCTCCCCCATCCAGGAGCCCCCCCCCCCCGATCTCTTTGACACCTCGATCCCTCCCGGGTGTCCCTGTCCCCCCTTCCCCGGCCCCGAGCATTCCCTTCTCCCCTCCGGTGTCCCTCCCCGGTGTCCCCCCGGTCCCCGTTCCCCCTCACGGGCCGCAGCGATCCGGCCCAGCGCGGGAGCAGCCGCCTCGCCGCCGCCATGTCCGCCCGCGATCACGTGACCGCACCCGCCCCCTCACACGTGACACGGGCGGTCACGTGGCCGCGGTACCGTGGGGGGGGACGCGGGTTCGAGGCCCGGCCCCTCCGTGTCCCTCATCCCTCGTCCCCTCCGTGTCCCCTCCGTCCCCAGCCCCTCCACCTGTGCCCAGGCGCCGTCCCTGGGCGCGCCCGCCGTGTCGCACTGCGGCATCTTTCACTGCGGTCCCCGGCACTGCCCGGCCCCGCGCCCGCCGCGCACTTATAGGGTGGGTTCATCCTCTGGCCCCGGTGCTGGGTAAACACGGCGCTGTTTGCTTTGGACGGGCCCACGCGCCGCGACAGAGGTTACCGGCGTGATTGGGGTTGAGAGGCAAAGCGGCCGTGGCTCTGTTGTCCCCTTTCTGTGTCTACCGGCGTCATCGCGGGGCCGGTGATGCTCCCGTGAGGGACCCCTGGCAGGCGGTGCCGGTTCGCTGAACCCCGCGCAGGTGGATGTTTGTCCATTGAGAAACAGCCCCGAGGGCTCCGTTCTGGCAGCTTTTGCTCGGGCTGGGTGGGACAGGTGACAAAACAAAGCCTGTTCGCAGCGTTGTGGGTCCTCCACAGCCACCCGTGATGCAGAAACCCCGGCTCTGGTGAGGAGTTTCATCCCTCTGAATGTTCAGCCCTCCTTGGAGAAGTTCAACATCCACGCTGGAAATCTGCCCTCTCACTCGGACAGCAGAAGTTCAACCCACAACAGTGGCTTCAGTTCACTAAGAACAAAACCTCTTCTCCTTGTAGCTGTCCCCACAGAATAGAAATAGAAGTTTGTGGATGGATTTGTATTAGATTATGGTTTTCTTCCAGATCTCTTCCAACAAGCTTCTGTTGTATTTATTCATGATGAAAGTAGGTGATCACAACTCCTCAAATCAACACCAAAGGAATACAAGGCAAAGGGGATTAAAGGAGACCTTCTCTTAAGTGATAAATTATTTATTCAACAATAAATGAAAAATCCTCTTGGATTCACTCGAAAAGAAAGGCACTGGGAGATGCTGTGTCCATCCCACGGCTGTCACAACACACCCTCGAGCTTCACGGCCCAGCCAGACTGAGGGGGGACAGGAGATGGGAGCACGTAGGGCAGGGTGATGAGCAGCCCTTTCCCTGGGGATTCTTCCTGCCACTTCAGAGTCCCTGCATATCCCAGCATGGTCACCTGCAGAGGAGGGAAGGGGACAATGAGCTGGAGCTCACACAGGACCCCTCTGCACACCCCAGAGCATCTCCCACCCATCCCCACCCGCCATCCACAGGGCACAGGAGGTGACGCTCGGGATGTTTTGATGGCAAACCTTTGATGTTTGTTGGTTGTTTGTGGGTTGGTTTGTTACTGAGGCTTCGCCTCTGTTTGTTTAGAGCAAAGGGCACTCGAGCATTTGCGTCAGGGTGACATTTGCCACGAGCAGGTCAGTGCCCCTGAGCTGGGCCTGCGGTGCAGGAACAACCACCCCTGCCCTGGGTGAGCCTGGATATTTATTTACATCCCCTCTCTGCATCAGCAGGTCCAGAAGATTCCAGGGGAGAAGAATCTGCCTATTCCAGGACAGCCATGAGCCTGTCCTGGCAACTCCTGTCCAATATTCCATGTTCAGTGAACCAAGGAACAGCCTGGGATGCTGCAAGGATCTGGAGGGAGGCCAGAGCACACAACTTCCCTGCTCTCCCCAGTTCCCCAACGAAGCCAGATTGGCCCTTCCCAGCCCATAAACACCCAAACTGTGCTCTCAGCGTGTGGTATCTGTTTTTAAGGTTCCTTACTCGCGTGGCTGGGCACGGAACGGGCGAGAAGAGCTTCAGAACGCTGTCCCGAGGCCAGAGCAGGAAGATGGCATAGACAACTGGTCCCCTGGAGGTGTACCTGTGGGACAGGGAGTCCAGCAGGGTGAGGAGCCCCACGGCAGCACCAGAACACCAGCTCACCTCCTGTCACCCCACGGGGGTCACCTACTTTCCCCTCCTTCCAAAACCTGTCACTTTGGACCTACCATGGGCCCGTCAGCGCTGGCTGATGAAACCCAAACAAAGTCCTTGTGGGCAAATGTCACCTGTGAACCTGTGCTGGGCTCAGCCTCGTCCCCATCACTGCCCTGCATTCCCACACTGGACACGCTTGAGGAAACAAAAACAACGCCAGTTTGTAGAAATTTCTGGCCAGAATCGCTGCTTAAAACAGTCCTGACATTTTTTTTAAAGGAAGGGTTCTTTTTCTCCAACTCAAGCAAGATGGGTGAAGCCCTAATCTGTATTCTCTTCTTTCAAGCAAGATATTCCTTAGGTAACAGCCTGGGGCAGTAACTGAATGTTCCAACTGTAGGATATTACCTAAACACCATCTGCACCCGATGGCAACAGTTCAGGATGTGCCAAACTTAAGAACAAATAAGAAATAAACGTCAGCTGTGGAAGTTCCAGCCCAGATGGTGCAGAGCAGCAGAGTCCTTACCAGACTGTGTCTGTGCTGTTCTCCATCTGCACTCTCCAAGGCTGGGATTCATAAATTGCCTCCCCATTGATGTCCAGCCACCTCCCAAGGGCCAGGAGTCTTTCTTGGAAGATGGGGACAATCACCCCTTCTTTGGTAGGTCCCACGTTGAGCAGGTAGTTGCCTCCCAAGCTCACAGTCTGCACCAGCTCCTGTGGCAGATAAACCAAGGTCACAACCTGCATTATCTTCACCTCTGAGAACACAGAAACCACACAAACGAAAAAAAGGAGGGTTTTACCCTCATCAACTGCTTCTTAGCTCCAGCCTGAGTGCATGGAACACATGACAACTGTCTTGGCAAGTAGGGGGATGAAGGAAACCTCTAGCTCTCAGTATTTCCCCCCCCACCCCATACCTGTCATGATTTCAGCTTCCTCACCTCAATGATACTTGCTTCATCCATGACCTCAGCGATGCTCATGTTGCTCCGGTAGCCCCAGGACAGCTTGTCAATAGAGGAGCACATCTCCCACTTGTGATCTGGCAGAGTGCCTGGCTTGTATTTGTCAGCACAGTTGTAGAACCCTCCGTGCCGGCACGCGCAGCCCTGGCCCCACCGGTCGTTAACAACAACGGTGTCCTGGGGGAACAGACTCAGCTCAGGGCAGAGGACATTTTGTCTTGGATTGTCCCACCTGCAATCACCATCCCCCACCCCGAGCCAGCAAAGGCATCCAAGTGAGGAGGAAAATGGTTAAAATTAAAATTCCCCTTTGTGATGGAAGAGAGAATCCTCCTGAGGAGGCTGAACCCCTCTCTGGAGGAGCCCCTCTCTGTTCTCTCGGGCAGCACAGCAAAGGACAGTGGAGCTTCTCACAGGAGCACCGTGGAGGCTTCTTGGGTTTTGTAGGAAGAATAAAACACATTTGGCATCTGCCAGGTGGGTTTTTGGTGTTCTCACACATCTCTCTGCTGCCAGACCTCCCACATCCACACAAGGAGGGACAGCAGACACTGGTACCTTGACAGGACTGTTGTTATAGAGCCAGGCAAGGAAATAGGTGGAATTCCAGTACGAATCTGGAGCTTCCCAGTCTCCATCCGACCAAATCAAATCTGGTTTGTATCTAAGAGAGACAAAATCTCAAAATGCCTCATTTTCTCCCACCACAGTGTTTCCTGTATCTGCAATCATTTTACTTCCCCTTCCCACTGCCTGACATCAGCAGGAGGTTTTGCTTCCCTTCCTGCTTCACACAAACACCAGGCAGGTTGCTCCACTTCCAGCCACCCTGCACAAAGGCAGGGTTAAAGGGAACTGCTTTTCCATGAGAAATTGGTCCCTACCTTAATTCTACAGGTTAGACTGATCACAGGACAAATGTGAACCCCTTTCCTAATGGTTAGTAAAGAGATTTGCCTTGGCAAAAATGAACGTTCTCTCCTCTGGAACTGGGAAGTGCTGAGGGTTCTGAACTGGCTGTAGCTCTTACCTTAGCACGAGGTCATAAAGTTCTGGCATCATCTTCTTTGTAACGAAGCTCTGGGTCTTGAAGCCATTTTTTTTGTCAGCAAGATAGAGTGGGTTAAACCACTCCATGAGGGAGTGATACAGCCCATAGTGTAGGTTCCTGAAGGACACAAACAGAGGGAAGAGTTAGGCACACGAAACCCATCGTTTTCTGCTGTTTGTCAGCACAGCCAGGAGGATTCACTGCAATATTATGCAAAAAAAACCTCAAAACCACAAACAACTGATTCAGCTGATAGAACAGCACTTTGGCAGTGCCATACCTCTCCCTGAGGGCTTCTCCCAGCTCTCCTACGAGGTCTCGGTGGGGCCCTGTATCCACAGAATTCCAGTTCCAGGACCTGGGAGACCCCCAGTTGGTGAAGCCTTCGTGGTGCTTTGTGGTCAGGACCACGTACCTGAGGGAAAAAGGTTCTTGATCAGGATGGCAAAAGGACAGCTGAGATATTCCCCAGGCACTAAAACAGCCAAGGACTGGATAACCACACTGTGAGGAGCCCCCTGCCACCGCCCTTCAAATTTAGAAGCAATTACAAGAATAACAGAGGTTTTAAGTGGATTTTAATGCTGGAAAAGAAGGAACAATTGAGACAGGAATCAGCAAGGCCAGTCATCTCCTCAGCACTCTGGGCATTGACCCATCCCCTCAGGGACCCCTGCAGCCTCTTGGGGACCCCAGGCAGTGCCCCCAACGTTTCTGGGCCTTTCCAGGGACTCAGGGACCCCCAGACATGGGTACCCTCTCTGCTCAGTCACCAGGGACCTCCAACCCTCACAGATTCCCAGAAATAGCTCCTCTATATCCCCAGGGACTCTCCTATCCCCTCATGGTCCCATGGCCACGGCGCTTATTCCCTCAGGAACCCCCTCATTGCCTCAGAGACCCCCAAACCCACCCTCATCCCCTCAGGGACCCCCCAGACCCTCCCCAACCCCTCAGGGATCGCACCCCGGCCAGCCCCGGCCGCCGACCTGGCCCCTGCCCGCCAGAAGAGCTCTGCCCACTGCCGGGGCTGGAAGTCGTGGGCCGTGAAATGGGGGGCGAACTCTGCGTAGGAGGTGCCGGGCGGGAACCGGCTCCGCACGAAGCGCTCGTAGGCGGCGTCGCGCTGTCCCTGCCAGTGCCACCAGAACCACTCGGAGCCCCAGGCCGGCACCGAGAACACCCCCCAGTGCACGAACACGCCGAGCTTGGCGCGGTCGAACCAGGCGGGCAGCGGGCGGGCGTCCAGGCTGCGCCAGTCCGGGCGGTACGGGGGGGCCGCCAGGCACGGCCCGAGCGCGGCCGCCAGACACAGCACCGCGCCCGCCGCCATGGCGGGCTGGCCGCGCCCACGGCCCCGCCACGTCACGGCCCACGCCGCGGGCACCGGGGCAACGGCGGGGACGCGGGTTCGAGCCTGCGGTCCGCGACATTCCCGTGGGGGACGCGGGTTCGAGCCTGCGGTCAGCGACATTCCCTCAGGGATCGCCGATCCAACCCTCAGCCTCGGTGCTGCAGGCGCTTCCCCTTGGTTAGCCCCCTCTGCCCCCCCGTCTTGCCAGGCCGCCTGTGTAACCTCCCACGTTCCCCGGGCTTTGGTGTCACGGAGCGCTTCTCTCGTTTATTTTGAGCGGCTAAACTCTCATAGGGAATTTCGGGTGTTTTCCTCCTCACCTGGATGCCTTTGCTGGCTTAGGGGAGTAAATGCGAGCAGAACAGTTAAATTCTCTGCCCTGAGCTGAGTCTGTTCCCTCAGGACTCCTGTGCAGCCAGGACAGGCCCAGGGCAGGGCTCCCAAACCCGCACAGGAGGGCTGGATGCATCCTCTGGGACACGGGGCAGAGTCCAAGGGCCTCGTGGCAGTGCCCTGAAAGCATCATCCACGTTGGAGGCATTTTGGGAGCTGGCAGGAGCCCACCTGCTCCAGGTCACTGGTGAAGGGCCCTGTCCCACTTTTCCCTCCGTGCAGCCAAAGGTGCTGCTTTTGTGTAACTTGCAAAAAAAAAAAAAAAAAAAAAAAAAAACAATCAAGTTCCTCATGCTCAGAGTATCTGCCCCAGGTTGGGCTTAAACTTGTCAACTGGAGGTGTTCATGCAGCAGGGAAAAAACAGAAATAAAACATGACAAGTGGCTGTAATGTTTAATCACGTAACATCCACCAAACACTGCGGGGTTAGGTCAGCTCTCCTGGAATTTGCTGGAAGAAACACCTGCAGGGTCCTGTCTGCCCCACCTGTGGCTGAGTCCATAAACCACAGTGAGAACATTCCAGTTTTCCATGATTAGATGCTAAAATCAACAAGATCCCAAATGCTGTGAGACAAGACTTTCTGCAGGTCCAGAGGAACCATCTGCACCTTTCCTAGGCAGAGCCAAGGTACCTCCTGCTGCTGCCATCCTGCTCCTGTGGGATCCAGCCAGGCATTCCCTGCCGCTGGGAGCTCATCATGACTTTGTGTTGTTTTCTGTCACCTTTGTCAGGACGTGAGGACTTTTTTGTCACTGTGCTGGAAATACACAACCCCCAGGGTCTGGTATAAATAGATGCAACTCTGCCTCATGTGCTCTCAGCACTCTGCTGATGGTGCTGGCACAGCTCTGCCTGTGCCCAGTGAAGGGATTCAGAGAGATTATGTGATCCCTGGGGATCTCTGGAGAACCTGAAGGTGTGTGGAGGGTTTTATTTGGGGTTACCTCTGTGTTATGGAGTGTAAGGAAGACACCACTGAATGTGATAAAAACAGATTGGGGGTTACTGGTGGACAGGCAGGGGGAATTGTCATAAAATATTAGGATCTGCTGTTCTGGGACATGGTTTTATCCACTGTCTCATGGCTGGCACTGGTATCCCTGCAGCCTGGGACTGGCTACCAGTGTAACACCTCAGGGATGGGGACTCCAAACTTCCCTGGGCAGCTCCTTCCAGTGTTTAACCCTTCCAGAGAAGAAACTCCTCCTGATGTCCAACCTGAACCTACCCTGGCAGGAGGTTGTAGAACCACAGAATCATAGAATATTCTGGGTTGGAAGGGACTCACGAGGATCATCAAATCCACCTCCTGCACAGGACGCCTCAACAATCCCACCATGTGCCTGAGGGCAAAGTCCATGCTTGTCATGTCCCAACACTGGAGGATAACATCAGCAGGAGCTGTCTCCATGGCAGGCAGCTGATCTCCATCTCCCAGATCCTCCATCAGAAGAGAAAAGAAACAGGAAAGTGACCCAGAGTGTTTCTGGCAGCCTGAGCTGACGGGTTCTCCCCGGGTGCCTCCCTACGTCACGTGCGCGTCCTCGCAGACGGTCTCCACCACGGAGGACCTGTGGGTGCTCTCAGCCTCCGGGCTCTCCTCAGAGGCCTTGGGCTGCCTCCTGAGGCGAGAAAACACCCTCCTCAGGGAGGAGTTCAGCTCCTTGCTCCGCAGGGCGTAAATGATGGGGTTCACCATGGAGTTGAGCAGGCAGAGGGTGCTGCAGAAGGCGAACGCCTTGCGCAGGCGGTCGCTCAGCCGGGAGAAGAGGCTGCAGATCATGAGCACGAGGACGGGGGACCAGCAGAGCACGAGGACGGCCAGCACCATGACCAGGGTCCTGGCCAGCCTCACGTCCATCCTCACGCGGCTGTTCTGCTTCCCGCCCTGCGCCTGCTGCCGCTCCATGTGGGCCGCGTGCTGCCGGGCCCTCCAGAGCACGCGGGCGTAGGCGCAGACGATGCAGCCCAGCAGCAGCAGGGTGAGGCACACCCAGCCCCACAGGTAGCTGTGGTCCACGAAGGGGAACAGCTCGGAGCAGGAGGAGTCCAGCGTGCAGCAGTTCCAGCCCAGGAGGGGCAGGGCGGCCACGCTGGCGCAGGTGGCCCAGAGCACCCCCAGGGCTATCCAGGCTCTTTTCCTCGTCATCAGGAGCTTGTACTCGGAGGGCCGGCTGATGGAGACGTAGCGGTCCAGGGCTGTGAGCAGGAGGCTGCTGAGGGAGGCGGAGAAGGAGGTGTTCACCCCTCCCAGCTGCAGCAGGAACGCCTCCTTGGAGGAACCGGTTCCGTTGAACACGTGGAAGTTCACAAAGCTGCAGACAAAGATGACGCTGGCCAGGATGTCAGCCAGGGCCAGGCTGCTGATGAAGATGTAGGAAGGCTTTTTCCTGGTCCTGGGGGAAGAGAAGATCAAGTAGAGCACCAAGGAGTTCTCGAAAACACAGAGGGTCCCGAAGAGGCAGCACAGGATGGCAATGCTTATCTTCTGTGCCGGCGTGCTGAGCACCATGAAGCACTCCATGGTGCTCCCGCTGCACTTGGAGGCATTTTCAGGAATCTTACAAATATCCATGGCCATTATCTGGAGTTAGGAGCTCACAGAGAGCCTTCCTGCTTCCTTCTGCTCCTCCTCAGATGCTCTGAAAAAGGTGAAGAGGATTTACACAACAGGCAATAAATTCAACCCAGACACATCCCTCCCTTTAGAGGGAAGCAAGTGAAAAGAAAGTAGCCCACGAGGACCTATTTCCAGGTCCACAGCCCAAATGCTGGAGCCAGCTTCCACCCTTTCCCAGCAGAGATCCAGGCTCTGTCTGGTGATTTAGCTGAGCCCCATCTGTCACAGCCCACGGGTACCAATTTCCCGGACTGGTTCCTCACCACAAGAGGGAAGCAGCATCACTGGGAATTGCACAGATCCTGGGCCAGTTCTCACCAATTCCTTCAGGATTCACTGCTCAGGGCACTCTGTGGCAGCTGAGCTGGGTTTTTCTCTCCACTTCTGCAGCTCGATGCATTTAACCCCTTTCATCTTCATCACACTGAGGGGCTTTTGCTTCAGGGGTTGTTTCCTCCCACTCCTGCTGTGGGTTACACGGGTGTTTAAACCAAGTGCAAACTTTCACTGAGGGAACAAGGCCTACAGAGAGCAGGTGAAGAGGCAGCTCTGGGATACACTAAACCTGCCTGATTTACAGCAAGATGCTGTGTTCCAAGTGCCAGGCGCCCGCTGGAAAATCCCACAGGACAGGACCCCATTCCAGAAAGTATCTGCCTGCTTTGAGGATCCAGGATCCTTTATCCAGGCAATGGGACCACGAGTTCCCACTGCTGGAGGAGAGCACTGAGCTGACCAGCATTACCTTTTCCCCAGAACGAACAAACCACTGTCTCTCCTTCTCCTCAGCTCTCTTTTGAAGGGATATTGTGCCAAACCATATTTTTTTTCTACCTGACCCCGTGACTTCCTTCCCCACCGATTTCCCCGACAGTCGTCCCTGGTTTGCAGCAGTTGCAAAATACCCTCGAGCTTCTCAGTACTTGAGATGCTGCCCAGGAGGTCTTGGAGAGGAGCCTGAGCCCCACACTCCACTCCTGCTGCCTGTGGGGCTGGAACACTGGGAGCTCTGGGACGTTCAGTGTGTTTTACAGGCACAGCAGGTCATTCCTGAACTGGATTCCTTGGCATGTCAGGCTGGAGGAGTCCTGGACTTTGGCTGGCGTGTGGCTCAGTGTTGCAGCGAGTCTGTCCCCTCTTACATCAGGCCCTGGCATGGGGTAACAGGGCTGGGGGTGTTGCACTCAGGTCTCAGAGTTCTCATTTCCTGCAGCTCTTCACAGGAACACGACACGGGCAGCGGGAATTACCGACTGCTGTTATTAAAGCTGACAACATCCCTCCCTCCTGAGACAGGTGGATTTAGCAGGCAGATGGACTTTTCATCTCACAGGGCTCACCAGGGACCACCAGGGTAACAACTGCCTCGAGTATCCAAACCTCCCCAGCCCAATTCCAGCATCCAAACCGAGCCATCTCTTAATTAAGCATCACTCCAGCATCACCCTGGCATCCCTCACCTGCAGCCAGCATTCCCAGGGCCATCATAAATCCTCTAATCTGAAGTTGTGCAATATCCAACTAACTTCCTGAGGATCTGGGAAACTGCTGAACACTGGGCAAGAGAGTGAAGGCAGCAAAATGCCATCCCTGACGTTACACTGCTTGGGGAGAGAATTTGGTTATAAAGGTAAATAATTCCTGCACTGCCTGCCCCCTTTTTTGTTTCCTTTTTTTTTGGCCATAAAGCTGCTTTCGCTGCATGAGCTGTGGCACAGAGGGACTGGTTCCCTGCAAGGAGCCAAGCGTGGATTCCCTGGAATTCTGCACAGGAATAGCTCTGATCACAGCACAGCGTCTCCTGCCAGAAGGATCTCCCAGGGTGGGGAATATTTTGCCAAATCAAAGCAGCCTTGCAATGGAGAACCCCCCCCAGACAGTGCCAGCAGCAACAGCAGAGCCCCAGGAAACAACACCCCCAATAAATGAGGAGCCCAGTTATTAGGAACAGAATCCAGATACGACATCTGGGAATGCAACATATTCCTGATACAGCCCCAATGACTGCAAACTCTGCCCAGAGCAGCAGAGAAGCCTCCCCCTCCATTAGATCCGCTGTGAGCCCACTCGCTCCAGCCTAACAACTCCACTGGCTTTGGGGGAAATTAAATTTACAAACGAAAAATGTCCTTTTCCTTCTCAGTGCATCGCTGGGATTGATTCCAGCTGTCAGACTTGCAGAGCTTCTCACGCAGCAGCACGATTCCTGCTTCCACTCCTGCATTTAGAGGGCCATCACAGCATGCTGGTGATTAATAAGTTACATACCAGTTGCTTAGAAAATGTAAAATTAAGTTTCCCTGCTGCAATCAGCCAGTGCATTGTGCCTGCAGCGCTCTGAAAGTGCTGGCCTGGAATATTTCATGTTCAGAATTTCTGAGGGGTGTATGGTTATGATAAAATTAAATGTCTTAGACGATCACCTAATATGATTTATGCAAAAATTGTCACTAATGCTTGGATATTTCACTTGCTGAAAAAGCAAAATACCTTTTGCTTTACAAATATTTCGGTTTATCTGTGATTTCTGGTTTTAGTCACCGAAGTTTTTCCATTATTTTGGAAGTAGCTGTTCATCCCAGCCTGTCCCTCTGACCACATTAAATGATGGGGAGTGGAACTCCCTCCCTGCTGTAGGACCTGTCTGGCACAAATGTCACACTGAAGATTATTTGCTTTATTTCTTTCCAGAGTCCAGCTCTGCCCACGTGTGACTGCCCCTGGGGGCAGTGTTTGAAGCCCAGGGTGGGGTGGGTGCAGAGCAGCTGTGAGGGCCAGTTTGGGTACAAAACAGGGCAAAACAGAACTGCCCTCACTCCACCAAAACCACCACGCACAGAGTCAGAGTAAACACTGAGCTCAGCATCACTCTGCGCCCTGGGAGACACTGGGAAATACCTCTGACACACGGAATCATGGAATGGTTGGGTTGGAAGGGACCTTAAAGCTCATCCAGTCCCACCCCCTGCCATGAGCAGGGACACCTTCCACCAGCCCAGGCTGCTCCAAGCTCTGTCCAACCTGGCCTTGGACACTTCCAGGGCTGGGGCAGCCCCAGCTTCTCTGGGCAAACCTGTGCCAGGGCCTCACCCCTCTCACAGGGAAGAATTTCTTCCCAATACCCTGTCTAATCCTGTCAGTGTGAAGCCATTCCCCATTGTCCCATCCCCACAGATCCTGATGAACTGATCCAACATTAATATTTCCCAAAGTCATCTGTATAGACTTAGCCCCACAGCCTGCTATTAAGCACTTACCTTTCATCTTCTCCTTAAGAAAAAATTCCTCCTAAAAACCACTTTCCCCCTCTTTGGCACAGATGGCAGTTTACCCCGAGCAGCACCAGGAATCTCTCTGTGAGGAGCAGCCTCGCCAGCCTGCCCCGTGCCTGGGCTCTCAGTGATGATGTGAGAAAAAGGAGCCAGCAGGATGCTGTGGGTCAGCAAAGACAAACCACTCACCTCCCCACGGGTGCTCGGGGGCTTCCCATCCCTCTGGCTCCCAGGGCAGCCTGTGCAGCTGCGAGTGGTGGCTGCTTCCCTCTCCTCTCACCGCACTTCTGTTTTCAGCTGGCTTTCTTCTACCCCTCTGGTTCATTCCCCTGGGCCGGAAAACCATCAGTGCGAGTCCTCCCTCTGCTTTCTTGCTCTTTCTGTGAATGTGTGTCGGGTTTTCTTTCCTTCCCCACTTCCCCTCCCCTCTTGGGTGTTGTGTTCTTCTGCCTGCTCGTGCCACATCTCACAACCGCTCGAGCCCTCCTGACTCGCTGAAATAATTCTCTCAGTCCATCTGATTCTTCCATGTACCTGCAGTGTTTGAGGCAAGAGACAGTCAATGGTCTCTTCCTGATTTCTCTGGGGAAGTGGAAGAGGAGGGGAGGGAAAAGACCTAAGAGGCAGACATGGAAAAATCTGGATATACCTGGCTGTTTAAGGGCAGGTTTACGGGCAAGCTCAGAAATCTGCTGTCCCTCAGCCCCATTAACAGCACAAACCTCACCTCTCTGTGCCCCCCAAAGCGGGCAAGGCCCTGCTTTGTGCACAGACTCAGCTAATGCCAGAGGAATGAGGTGATTTTTATCTCTTGCAAGAGGAAGGGAAACAGCTTAAGGTCTTTGGTGACACAATCCTGTGGTGAGCACGGACCCAGGGCGTCAGAGCTGCGGTCACTGCTCTAGCTGCTCTCAGCCCTCCTTCCTGCAGTAACCACCTCCCCTCCTCGGCTGGGCAGCAGCTGCCCGGAGCTGGGTGTGGGCAGGCTGTGCTGGTGCTGCTGGAAAGCAGGGACAGCTGCTGGGTGACACCAGGGACCTGTGTCGGTGGGTAGAGGCAAGTTTGCCCCAAATCCCAGCGGAACTGGCCGTGTGTGGTTGTGCACAGACCATCCAGGCTGCAGCGGGGAGCGCACACAGCGAGGTGTGATCCTCGGCCCCTGGGATGCACCTTACCCTGCTCTGCCACCCTACAGAGCCACCCCACAGCACCAGCAACCTGCCTTCTCCAAGCAGGAGCTCAGACTTCCCTCCTGCTTGGATCCCAGTGCCCCCGTTCTGCGATGGTTTGAACTCGGGTGCTCAGCGATGCTCGGCTGCCCTCTCCAGGGAAACCCGCGGCACTCGCGGGGGCATCGGCTTGTGAACGCTTGAGGAAGAGGGGGAACTGGGAACCCAGCGCTTCCCCTTGGCCCCTGGCTGGGAAAAGGGGCTTCCCAGCTCACCAGGGCGCTTGGACACTGCCTGATTTTTTTGATGCTGCTCAGGCCCGGGCGGTTTTGGAAGCCCCTTCTCTGGATCTTGTGTGAGGAAACCACAATGACAATGAAAGGCACCTCGTGCTGTTGTGTAAGCAGAGGAGAAGAGGTGGGTTATCTGCTCTGTCTCAAAAAATAAGGGCTTTCACTTCAGTTCCAGTCCAGCTGGGAATAGCCGTGCTTTGGGAACAGCCCCCCACACTCAGGGTCAACATCTGGGGTCAGGGATCAGCTTTACCCTCCCATTAAGGTCACGTTCTGCTTTTGCCTTCTTTGTCTGCTGGCCCCAAGCAGAAGCACAGCCAAGTCATAACTACAGGGAACTGAAGGAACACCAGAATTTGGGGGGCTTGGCTTTCAGGGGCCTCTGGCTCAGCTGGGTGAGGTTACTGAACTCAGTGCACCTGATTTTATGGCATTTAAACCATATTCAGGTGTGACTGAGCTGTTCCACAGACAGGGGTGCAGGGCTTTGCTGAGCTCTTTGGGGCAGCCTTGGCACTCCTTGCCTTGCTGCCAGGAGCTGAACCAGATCTTCCCAAGGCTGGCAGGTGGGCAGGTGGCCTTGGGAAGGGATGCTTTCCTTGTGGGCCCTGCACAGGGAGCAGCTCTGGCTGCAGAGGTGTCTGGCTGTTGGGTGCCCATCTTGTTGGGGTGCAGGAGGGGCTGGGGCTGTGCCTGGTGAGCTGCCAGCTCTGGTCCTGCAGAGTGCTGGGGGAAAGGCTCAAGGAAATGCTGGGCAGGCCCTGGGGAAAAGGGACTGGGAGCTTGGTGTTGCTCAGCAGTGGTGCCTCTGTCTGCAGAGCAGAGGGAACAGCCCGGGGCTGTGTTGGGACACGGCTCATGTGATGGGACACTCAGTCACCAGCCCTGCCAGGAAGGGTGTCTGTGCCCTGTGGGAGGACTTGCTTGTATTTCTCTGACTGTTGTGTTTGCTGAGGCTGGATGTGAAAACCGGGTGGCCCAGACAGGGCAGGGGGTGGGGGCACAGCTCACCTTGATAAGGTGTGACTCAGAGCCAGGTGAGTGACTTTATCTTGCACTCTTAGAGGAAATGCTGAGAAAAAAATAACCCCAGACTTATTCTCTTGTCTAGCACAGCTCCTGGGACTGTCCAAGGGGTCCTCCTGTGCCCCAGGTGAGCAGCTCCTGCTGCAGAAACACCTCTGCTGCCCTGCAGGGAGGAGGGCTGAGGGTGGCAATGTTTTCCCTGCTGATAGGATGTGAACAAGGCATGATGATTTAAAGGGACTGAAGGGTCCTGCAGGGTTCTGTGACTCAGGGCTGGTGGGGTTTGAATGGGGAGCTGTTGAGACAGAAAACACACAGGGTGTGGCTTGGGAGTTGTGCCTGGAGGTGCTTTCGTTTATGGAGTTCAGATGTCACATCCTGGAGCTGATGAACCTCAGGTACTGGTGAACACTGGCTTAATTCACATCTACATATACATAGAAAATGTCATTAGGTCTCCTGCTTCTGTTTTATTTAACATACTTATAAGGAGCTTTAAACAATTAAAGTACATAATTTTATTGCATTCTTGGGGTTCTTGTTCCTCTTCTCTGTTTACTCTGCAGAGATTCAAATACCCACCCAGTTTCCTGTAGATCGTTGCTGTGGATTTCCTGAGCTTTATTTGATGGAGGAACAGGAGTCCTCTGCCAGACAGAATAAAGGATGTTGTAAACATTACTGTATACTCAATAGTCCCGTGCAGATTTTCAAGAAAATACAAACTCAACACATTTCTCACAGGAGGAAACTTGGCTGGATTGATACCCTGCTTAATGTTTGGCTCAGATGGAAACGCCTGACTAGTCTCAAGCGCGTCATGGGGCTCTGAGAGCTGTAAAAAGCAAACACCTTGGGTTTACTAAAAGTCACGTAGCGCAGGAAACTCGTCACCGTAAACCAGAACTGGGGCGCCGGTTCACTGTTAACTTAACAAATGATTCACCCCTGCTGCTGACTTCCTGCAGGATCCACCGTGGGTGATCCCACTGAAACCCTTCCAGCGGGAGTTTTGGCCTTCCAGAAAGCACATAAAGGTGTAGATGCTCCAGCGTGGTGTGAGATCCGTCCCAGCCACAGCTGGAAGGGGCTCAGCCTGGGGCTAAGGAAGCTTTGTCTTCACTGGAACTTCGGTGCAATCTGCTGGTTGTGGCAGTGCCAGCACAGATGGAGCTGCTTCCCTGGGCTGGGTGAAAAGTAGTAGTAGCCAGGGAAAACCTTGAGTTGTTATCACTGTGGCAGCAAAAGTGATGGTGGGAAAATGAGGAGGATTTGGGCAATGTAGAAACTGGCTCCCTGGGAACATGAGGAAAGTTGGTTTTCATTGCAGCCAGCCTTGGATTATGTGAGGAAGAGGAATAACCCTGCAGGCAGATAAAATACCTCAGGCTACCCGTGAGTACCAGAGGTGAATGGAGTGCCACAAGCTTTGGAGCAAGAAGTTTTGTGTTGAGGCCTTTGAAAAAAATAGAAGGGGTTAAAAATAATTGTTTGAAGGAGCAAAGTAGTTTCTCTTATAGGAATCTTGGATTTCGATGATAAGGGGGACTGAACCCTGCATTCAGTCTGTGCTGTGTCTTCAGGACATGCAGGAACTTGAGAGCTTCTGTCCCTGTCAGGGTTATCATAGCTCTGGGAATATTTCCTTTTCTTCAACTGCAAGATTGAAAACCAGCCCAAGGCTTCAACAGCTGAAGTGTAAAACATGGGTAACTTTGCAATTTGGGCATTGTGGTGTTTGGAATATTCTGGACTGTCTGTTCCTTTGATATAAAAAACACCCCTTCGTGTACTTTTGAACTTTGAATGGCACAATTTACTGCAGTCACCGTGTTTGTGTTTCAGTGGAACAGTCCCTGCACTAGCACAGCACTGGTTTATCGCTGACATTTCCTCCTCCCCTCGGGATAAATGTGTCAGCCCGACCCCGAAACCAGTTCTGAAAGATGAGATGTTTTTTTGAACTCTCACAGACAGTGAAGAAAAGCTTCCAGGCCTTGTGTCATCCTCGATCTGAATGGAAAAGCACACGGATGTTCTGCTCCCTGGACAAGGGAGCACGTCTGCAGCCTGGAAAATGCTGTTTCTTAATCCCAGGGACATGTCCTGACTTGAAAACATCCACACACCGAGAGGAGATTGTTTCAGCAGAAATAAACTAAAGATAGAACCAAAGCAAAAATCTGCTGATGTGCATTATAGGAGAGCGGCTTGAGATAATCAGTGGAATTTCAAGGCTCAAGGGCTTGGTTGCAGCAGATATTGTTGCCTTCTATCTAAAATGAAAGCTGCTACAAGGATCTCAGCCATAACACTGTGCCAAGAAATCCAAAGCAAAGGGAGGAAAACAAAGTAATTTCAGCTGGGTTTGTGCAAACGTACGGTAAAGAATATGAACAAAGGTCGGGGCTTGGGTATGTCAACACATCTTGTGTTTCAGAACATCTGATGGATTTTTTTAATAACTGCATAACAAATACAAACTTCCCTTTGGAGTATTCACCTTATCCTGGTAGTGCTGGAAGACCTGGGGTGGGTCACAGGTAACCTGTAACACCAAGTGCTGGTCAGTAAGGAAACACTTTTGGTTTAGATGTTTTAGGGATAAAAGATGGAAGAGTAGGGGGGGTTTTTTCCATTTTGTAGCTAAAAAGGCAGCTACTCAAGGGCCCCAAAATAAAAACTCTGAATATTCATGTGTTGGTTTTAAGAACTGCTTTGACCTGGTGGTGTTGGAACCGAATTAGTTCTTTTCCATTTTCTTTGGAAACTCCTTTTTTTTGACCCTTAATGTGGTGTACGGCGCTCGACTGGCCCCTCACCGGTGGGCAGGGAGCGCTCCTAAACGTGCAAATTTCTTATATATATTTAATTTTTATTCACCCTATAATTGTAAAGGCCAAATCTTGTGGGTTTTGGTGTAAAATCATACTTTGAGGTAAAGTAAGAGGATGTGAATATGAACTCCAACTGCAACCACTGCCGGGGGCTTTGCGTTCCCACAGCAGCGGCTTCAACCCAGGGAAGCTTTTCCCTCTATTTTGACGTGGGGGAAAAAAAAATCCCTGTACGCTATTTTTAATATTTTAAACATTAAATAGTTTAACTAAACGCAGGTGTGTGGGATTGGCTGCTCAGTGAACCCTCTGACACCAGAGCGCTGCGGGATCTCTGCGGGGCCGGATTTTACTCTTTGTTCGCTGGATTGTGTGTATTTTTTGTGCGTTTTCCTTTTTGTTTGTGTGTGTGTGTGTTTTACATCATTGAAGCCCCAAGCGGCAGCTGGCGCGGGCGTCCCCACACCCCTTTTGTTGTGCTAATTCCCGAGCGGGGCTGGGCCGGGGGGGTTTCTGGCAGCGTGTCCCGGGGCTGTGGAGCGGAGCCGGGGAGCTGCGAAGGGGAGCCCCGGGGACCCTCGGGCGGTGCCCGGCGAAGGGGCCGGGCCAGGCCGGGTGGGACAAAACCCCAGCACAGCTCCCGCGCTGTCCTTCGTGAGGGGATTCAAATGGCGGCCCCACCCGCCCGCGCGCCACGGCCGCTCTGCCCCGGCCCCGCCTGGCAACAGGCGGAGCTTGGCGCCCATTGGCGGAGCGAGCGAGCGGCGCGCTCCTATTGGCTGAAGGATCGGGGAGAAGCGAAGTGGGGGAGGAGGGTGAGGGTGTTAAACAGCGCAGGACGCGGCCGCCATTTTGTGAGGGAGCGAGAGGGGCAGCGCGGGGTGGTGGGAGCTCTGAGGGCGGGGGGGGTCGGAGGTTGACGGCGGAGCAGCAAGGGGTCGGTTCCGAGTGGCCCGTGTGTGTTGTCTCTGCTTGCGGGAGAACGGAACGGACTGAAGTCGGTAAGGGCGGAGCGGTGCGGGAAGGGCCGGGCGCGGCCGCCGCCATGTTGTGCTCCGTTGTGGGGCAGTGGGGACGGGGGGTCCCGGCTCCCCCCGGGGCCGGGGAGAGAAGGGAGAAAGTTCCCAGGCGAAGAAACGCCGGTCGGCGGGAGCAGCATTTGGCTGTTCCCTTGCGGTTATGTTCCCTTGGTCTAAGTGCAAACAAGGCGAAAGCTGGAAGTGGAGATGGGCGGCTCCTCTGGAGCTGAGGGAGGGATGGGCTGATGAGTTTGGAGATTTACAGGAGGTGAACAGATTACAGTGACTCGAGATTTAAATCTTTTGATATTTCAGGAAAGTAGGAGGTATGGGCTAAACAGGAAGTTAGTGTAAGAGTTAATAAGGAATTACTTGACTAACGACAGTGAAAAAAACCCAGCTCATAGATGAGAAATGGAGCTCTGTGATGCCTGGGGAGTGCAGGGCGGGTCACGCGAAGTGTTGGGACATTGGGGGCAGTTCTGTACTGGTCCCAGTTAGGTGGGTGCCTTCTCCAGGGGCAGTTTACAGGGAGGGGTTTCTTTGTGCTCAAGTGATCCATTGAGCTCTAGTTCCCCTGAAGTTAATCCCAAAGTATTTCCCATTGTGTTTTATTTTCTTGGTTAAAAAAAAAAAAAAAAAAGTTCTAACTTGCCCATTGAAATGTTTTTTAAGACATAAAACATAACAAAAAGGCTGCTACTTGTGAAATGTGAAGTATGACGCTGAAGTTTGTATAAGCAGAGTAAGACAAATCCTGCCGTGTCTTTTTTTGGGTGGGGGGTTGTTTGTGAATTTGCTGCTTCCCCTCCCCAAATCGAAACAATTGTTGCCTTACTCTGAATTAAAATTTCCTTCTCTTTTCTGCAGCAGGACTTCTCCCTTGGAGCTTCTGTGCCGAGAATCCGATGTTGGGCTCGGCTCCCTGGCTGAAGACAGCACATCAGCCCATGAAAACTTCTATTCCCAGCCAAAGGAAGGAGTCCGGCACAAGGCAGCACCTGTTCTTTCAGGCTTGGAAGCAAGAAAGGGGGCAAGAGTTGGAGGGTGTGGAATCCGAGAAGACAACTGAGAGGTAAATGGGGGGTGGGAGAGGGGAAATTACTGCAGGAGAGTCAGCAGGAAGGTGCCAAGCACCATGTGATGCTGTTACAATCTGTTTGGAGGTGGTTTTCAGTTCACTTCGGGTTTATCAGAGTAATTCTCTCTTACCAGGAAGCCTGGAGGGAGTGGCTTTATCAGTGCAAACTTTGCCCAATCTTTAGGTGTAACAAGCTTGGTTTAAATATCTCCAGCACCCAATAGGAGCACCTTTTATTACTCAAGTGGCATCCAGTAAAGAAGGAAAAAACACTACTCAGACTTGATTCAAGTTTTGGTTAAACTGATTTGTGTCCCCTTGCTTAGAATCTAAATATTCTCTGAGATACCTTCTCTTTAAAAATGAGTGATGGAAACTCACCCGACTTTTCTCCCTGTTTTCACAGGTGACATTAAAGTTGAAGATGGGTGGTGGAGAAAGATACAACATTCCAGTTCCCCAGTCTAGAAATACCACCAAGAACCATCAACAACTTAAAAACAGGCAGAAGAACAAAGAGCAGAACTCGCAGGTGAAGACCTACATGAAGAAGGAAAGAGGACACGGAGGCAGCTCATCCCCTGGTGCATGGCAGGCCATGCAGAAAGGGGGCAAGAGCAACGTTCCCTTCCCCAGCAATCCCAACTGGAGTCCTGCTCTATCCAATCACAACCTGTTGTTCACCCCCCAGAGCAACCAGAACTATGCTGGAGCCAAGTTCAGCGAGCCACCCTCCCCAAGTGTTCTTCCTAAGCCTCCGAGCCACTGGGTACCTGTTTCTTTTAAACCTTCTGACAAAGAAATTATGACGTTTCAGCTGAAAACATTACTAAAAGTCCAGGCTTGAGATGTACCTTTTCCTTATTTTTCAGAAGTGATTTAAATTGACAGGGTTTCAAATCTGAGCATTGTTATTCCTAACTCCAGCTGCACGGGTGTGCAGAGCCAGGTGTTCTTGCTGCATGTAGTTAGTCACTTGGAAGAGGGGTGGAAGTTTACATTCCCCTCATGTTTTACCTCAAAAAGTTCAGTGCTGTGTTCACGTCACTGTGAAATAGGTATTTTTCTCTAAAATCAATCAAATCAAATCTCGAACAGTCACCATTTATTGTATTTATTGTGAGAGTAAATGGGACTGTCTCCCAGAATTGGAATTGTGAATTTGAATCATTAGAAAACCAGCTCTTACCTAACTTAATGCAGCATGAACTGGAAATAAAAAACCCGCACTGAAAGCTTTAGTTCAGGTTATTTGCTGCTCTTCAGACTGGTGTCAAATTGTGCTAAAGGAACACTCTGCAGATTTGCTGAGCAGAAACCTCCCCCTGGGCACAAGGTGAAGCACAGATGATTCTCTTACCTGTACCTGGGAGCTTTGGTGGCACTCCTGGAGTGGGGGATGAGCATTTCAAACCCGTGACTCTTAAAGGGATGGAAGAACTCCAGGCGGATCCGTAATGCCTTTCTCCAGCTCCAGCAGTGCTTCCCGGGAATCTCCAGGAGTCAGAGTGCCAACTAAAGACTTTGCATTGCCAGGTGACTGCCAAAAAACTCCCCCAAATCCCTTGGATGCCCACTGCACTGAGGAGTTCTAAACACATTTTTCTATCGGTTTTTATAATGCTAAAAAGTTGAGGTAGTTCCTTAGATTGTTCTTAATTGGTTCCCTTCTAATAATTGACAGTAGTTTGGGGCAGGTATTCAGTGTTTTCACAGGGAAGACAGAGCCATGTAAATACATGTAAAACATTGTAGCATATGTAAATTTATGCTGGGCTTTCCTGCACAGAAGTATTTTTAGTACAAAACTGCTGAATGTAAGATGACCATGTTGAGTACGTGGCCTAGTTTAAAAAAAAAATGTTATTTTGTTTAAAAAAAAAAAGACAAAAAAAAAAGACATTTGTGGCTGTGCCCTTGCACTTCACATGCAGTGAATATGCACGTTGTATTTGGTTGTGAGCTCATTTTTTAAAGTAAAATCAGTGCAAAAGAGGCTTATTTAGATTTTTTTAATAAAATAAAATTTTAAAAAACTTTAAAAAAAAAAAAGAGCTGATGAAGTTTCAGCTCCTCCTGTTGAGAATGTGGAGAGGTGTGTGTTCAGTGATGAAAAAACTCTGATCTGTTCTACATCAAGTGTTTAATAAGAAATGCAAATTCCTAGGTTTGAGTGCTTGATAAAACTGAAGGATTGTAACCATTTTGTGTGTTGGAAATGCATCAGTGCTCTGCAAGACATGAGTTTCTCCCAGTATTTGCTGAAATCCTTCAGCAGCAGCTCCTGAGCTGTCACATTGCAGCTGATCCTGCAGCAGGAACAGCTGAACTGTGACAACAGGATCATCCAGGGTTCTTTCAAAATACAAGAATTACTAAAAAAAAAAAGTGCTTTAATTTGAAAGGGACTTTTGCAGATTGTGAAATGTTCTGAGGTGTCTTTCTGTACATTCCAAACACAGTGGCAGCTGAACGTTTACAAATTATTGCTCCAAATCAGATAGAATTGGCAGTCTCTAAACCTGTGTTGTGACCTGGACCATCACCAGGGTCTGAGTTGTATCCCAGTTAATTATCTATTCTCTATTTCAAATTGTCAATTACAAAAGGTGTTTGTAACAAATTGGAAAAAAAAATTTTAAATAAACTTTTTTTTTTTTTACCCCCTAAAAGCATCTGTTTGTTTTCAGATGGAAATGGGAAAGTGGGATGACATCATTTTGGCAGCTCCCTTCACAAAGGAGGTTTCTTAAACTGCAGCCTTTTCCTTCGTGCCCTTCCAGAGGCTTGGGAACACATGGCTTGAAAATTAACACTAATCAACATTCCTCACAAAAGCAGAACCTGGCGACACTGGGGCTCCATCTCCCACAGACTAATTAATTAAGTCAGAAGGTGCTCTCAAGTTATAGTCAAAACTTGAACATTTTATTCCCAATTCACAGGGTTATTTGCACAGATGGAACACAAAACTCAAGAAGAAAGGATGTGGATGAATAAAACATCAGCATCTTCGATCAAACACACTACAGGGTACAGAGTCTTCCCTTCCTACAATAGTCTCATCAGCAAGAGCATCTTTAGACAAATATTATAGCAATGGACTACAGACTTTTTAAGCAAGTTACAAGATAAATGGAGAAAACCAGCAATTCTCAACGGGTGATTTATGTCCTAAAAATGTGTCAATTTATCCCTTTGTATTTCAGAATGTTCATCTGCACCATCCCTGCCAAACCCAGCAGCAGTGCTGCGATGGCTCCCCCTGCCCTTCTCCCAGCACGGGCTGTGCCTCCAGCCTGAACAGTCAGGAGAGAAACCTCTGGCCGAGCAGAGAGCTCCAAATAACATCGAAACGGAAAAATTCCACTTCCAGTAAAACCATGATACTGTACATTAAACATCTTGAAAAGACATAGAAAGGATAACATTGAGCTTTCAGAGACCAGTCTATCAGAGTCCCTAATTAAACACCCAGCTACTTAACCACTAAATTGAAGAGTTTTAATTACCAGTTGGGTGCATGGACTTTAGGTGAAAAAGAAGTTCCAATAGAGCCTTCTATGAGTGCTGCCACCCATCGATTTGCTGCAGATACTTTGGAGCACAGCCATTATTTCAGCAGAATATTATTATTTTTTTTTTCTTTTACACACTACTTCAATTCTACAAATTTCGCAGGAATGACAAAAATCTAGTTTACCACAGGAAAAAAAACCCCAGCAATTCCCACCGTTCTTGAGACTCCAAAAGAAAGATGCCTAGACATGATCTTTTGTAGCCTGCAATGTTCTTGCATTCCAGCTGTGCATAACCTGCAGGAAGCTTGCACAAGACAGGCTCCTGGATTTTTTTTAGGGCAGGACTAGGATACCTGCATCAAGGAAGGGAGATGTTATCTAGATGGGCTGTGGCTTGACTTGCATGAATGCATAAACATTCCCTGCCCTTTTGGCCACATCCTGCTAACTCGTCCCCAACTGAAAGGCCCACAGAACAGCTTCTTCACAATTTTTCCATGGGAGCAAGAACTAGGACAACATCTTTATTCATGCACTCTTGAAACATCGTGGGTTTGTGTTCGGCTTTTCTGGCTTGTTCATATACACAAGTCAAGTCAAAGTTTAGTCCTACCTCTGGGAGAGAAAGAAAGAACCATCAGAACTGGCAGACACTACATTATACTTGCAATGAACTGGATTTTCAAAACAAAAAGAATTAAACTGTGCTATACATAAATGTTGAGGCACACAATATAAGGACATGCTGACACAATAGTAAAGGAATAGTTACTGTTACTCTGCAGTCTCCAATCACTCAGCCTGGGCTTGGAGATGTTCTCCTCCCTCCTCCCCCTGATCCAGCTCTGATCCCCGCTGGACTAAGGTGAGCATTAACGACCTTGCAGGTCCCTGACACAAACAAACCCCACTTCCCCCACCACAGTCACCAAGACCCCTTTTAAGCAAGATTCAGTCATGAAGACCATACAGATAGAGCTGAAAAGGGTGGGGGGTTCTGCTGTTACAAGCAGAAAGCTGCAAGATAATTCACAGCTCAGCTTTCAGAGGTAAGAGTGTATCAAGGTAATTAAGTGCTTTACAGAGGGGTTTTCGGAGTGGTAGAACCTCCTGCAAGTGCCAGGAGGCAGCTCCATCTCTGAACGTCACCAGCAAAGCTTTGTCACCTCCCACAGAACCACTGCTGGCACCAGTTTTGATATGGCAACTATAAATTGATAAGGTGATACTATAAATTTGATCCTATTAGCACCTTCAGTTGTTGCTTTTATGTAGTTCATGACCCGGCTAATAATATCTGAATTATAACCACAGGGCAAGTTCATCCAGCAATAATGAAAGTCGATGGTAAATAAAATTCAATATATTAGACTAACACTTATGCTTATCATTCTCATTTTGTCTCGTACCCCTTTAAAAAAATGTGAAATGACATTTATTCAGGTATCAAATGATAAATTCCTGCCTTTACTGAAGTACCATAGTAAGGATTTTACTCCATAAGGGGTGCATAGCTCTATTCCTAACCATGCTCTGGAGTCAAATTCTAAAGCTACAAGAATTCCAGTGGATCAGTATTTCCTTCATTTTTTTATTACAGCATGTTTGCTAAATTTACAGCAAGCAGAAAATAAGCTGGGTCTTTAGTAATTTTGATCAAAACATCGATGTTTTAAAGGTAGTACACAATATTTGTTAAAAAGAACATATAAAAATACCTTTTTAGAAGCCTCTATAAGAAAGGAAATACAAAGTTTAATCCCACAACTTTCCTCTGCTAGAGCTGCACGCTACTGCTACAGTTTTTAAATAGACTTTTTGCTGTTTTTAAACTATACATCCAAGGAAAGTCTACAAAATTAAAGGAACGTGCATATAAATGATTGCATAGCAGAACATGAACATTAACTGCAAACAGTAAAGGAAAAGTTAGAAATGCTATCAAATGTACAAAGATTCTACCATCAAACCCCTAAAGCACGTTCCGATGCTCCAAAGCCATCTGCACTCCTTTGGAGGCCCTGCTGGAACACTAAACCCAAACCCTAAAACATTTCTCTAAAAAGGAACTTTTTGGAAATCGATGCCTTTATATGCTACGACGTCAGACAGTGAGGAACACTAAATGTTTGATGCTGGCTTTTGAAAGTAAATAGAAAAAAAAACAAAAAACAAAAAACAATGCCAAAAGCCATTTCCATAACAAAGGATCTTGCCTTCTAGAGAAATACTGATGAGATTACACACTGGGTTTGTTATTTTTTCACATTCAATTTTCTAAATATACTGTATATTAGTGATAAACTACATAGCTAGAGATGCAGCTCTTGTTCATATCCAACTCCAAACGTTTGTTCTGAAGTAAAACAAAATCTTGTAACCAAACCAACTATCAATTCTGAGGAAGGAGTGATTCAGACTTGCTTGACCAACTGCTTTTTTTTTTTGCTGTGTAAAAAGCAAGCCTGGTTACCCAGGAAGGGAGATGGCTACGGTTTGATACCTATGAGTACACCAACTAACCACAGGAGTCATTGGCATTAAAGTTTAGTTCTTATATACTGTACACACACAACTCGAAACGATCTACTTGTATCTAACAGCAGGAAAACTAAGCAATTTTATGGTTAACTGCTCACTAAAATTTAGAATAGATACAAAAACTGCATAAAATGTACATACAACCTAATATTCAGTTGCTCTGCTGCTTGCTGAAATCTGAATTTGATTTTCCATTTCAAGGCGGGTTTTTTTACCCCCTCTTCTCACACCTTTAGAACAGCCAGGCCAAAGGCAGTGAAGCCTCTGTCCCGACACGTCACGACACTGCACAGTCCAAACTCTCTCCCCGTGTCGTACATGCAATGTCAGTACCATCTGTCCAGGGTTAAAGAGAAATCTCCAAAATATCTCTCCAAAGGGCTCCAATTACCACCCTAGTGGTGCTGGTGGGCGCGGAGAACACCGAAACCTGCCCTGGAGCCTCGGGAACAAACTGCCAGGCTGATTTCCCAGCAGCCAGTGCTTGCACTACAGCTGTCCAGTTTTCTGCTTTCTCACAAAGTTTAGAGTCAAAGAAGCAGTTAAACGGTTGGTTTAACTGCTCAGCACAAACTGTGTACCAATTTCTCTATGGGTGTGACATTTGTAAAAGGACAATGTTGCAAGTTACGATCAATCGACTCATCACCAATATCTAAGCATTAAAAATGCAAATCTTTACAAAAATATACATAGAGACACCACAACCAAATCAGTAGCTGCCCATGACATGTAATCAAGTGGACATTCTCTCTCCCTCTCTCTCTCTCTGTGGCTTCTCAACACTGTTTTAATTTTAACCATTGTCGGCTACAGGGAAAACTGACAAAGAAAATATTTTTTAGCACTGTTGCAACATCATATTCCTGATAATTTAAGTAAACTGAACTGTGTGTAAATGAATCTTACATGCCTAAACCAACATGGATACACTGTTAGTGGCCACTGGACTTGGGACTAGTCCAAGACCTCGATCTGGATTTTGACCTAGATCTAGAATGTGATCTTGACTGTGATTTGGATCTAGCTGGTTCTTTTTTTCTCGACTCCTTCTCATATCTTGAGCTGGACTTATAGTGTGTTTTAGAATCTGTTTTAGAGGTGCCTCTAGATTTGGTGTGAGATGCAGACCTAGACCGTGATTTAGCCTTCATTTCTTTCTTGGGCTGTGACTTGGATCGTGATCTTGAATTGGACTTAGATCTTGAAAAAGATCGATTGCGGTGTTTGAACCTATCAGAATAAAGGGGAGAGAGGAGATTTGAATGTAAAAACACTATTCTTAGACATCTAGTACATCAAAAATTGTTTACCGTTTTTGCAGGAGAAACTTTTTTTTTTTTTTTTTTTAACCCTATAGTTAGTTAAAGGAATACAGTGATCTAAGCTTTCAATTCAAAGGGTGGAAAAAGTGGTTTTACCTATCATTGTCCGAATGGCTTCTGCTACGACGAGGTCTCCCCGTAGGTCTACTGCTAAAAAGGTACATCAGAAAAAGTAAACGGTGACAAATACCTATGCAGGTGTACAAATGCTTCATAAATCAACTGTCAAGCTGTGCACTTTTAAATCATTCTCCAGTGAAGCACAGAGCCATTTCATTCACTGTCTCTGATGTGATACGGCATGCAAGATAAGCAACTCCCACAAGTTACTCCCCCGACAGAAAAGGATAATTCACAATTTTATAACAATTAAGCAGTCAAGGTGGTGTTTCTCCTCCAGCAGGCTGCTGTGCAGCTGAGGCCAAACACACACTGCACACTTACTTTCTGGGACTATAGGATCTTCTATAGCTGTAATCAAAGGAACGACTCCTAGACCGTCTCCTCTCGTAACTCCGACTCCGGGATCGCCGGTATCTGTCATAGTCATCGTAACGAGAGGAACTGTACAGGTTTCTCCCTTCCTTGGCTTTCATTTGATTTGGTGCTGTAAAAAATAGCAATATTTAAGTTGAAAAAGGTGCCCCACTTTCCCCCTTCAGTGACTAATCCACCTATCTGGTGTTTAGCAAACGCTCATTTGTGATTCTATCAGAGATGTTTATGAAAGGACAGATAAGAGGCCACTTTTATGCTGCTTTAACCACTGGACAAAAATTAAAGCAGCCTCCAGGGCATTATAAATCTAGAAAAAAAACCCAACCAAAACCTCCCTCAAAAACAGTTAAGAAAGGACTAATGCTCCATAAAACCAGAGCACAGAACTGGCAGAGGTGATTTCAGGCCAGCTGGAAACTGGTATGTCAGGTCAAACCCATGACTGAGACATTCTAACATTCCTGAATTTACCCAGTGAGTGAAAGCTAACAGGGAATTAATTAAACACTCGTTTCCCTGATTACACAGCGCCAGGCATCACACCTGATCCCCAGATGACTTTCATGACTAAAAGGTAGCTTATACGGAGGTATCAGTAGATGCCACACAGAGAAGTTTGATTCCAAAAGTAAAACAGTAAAACAATGCACGTTCAATCTGGGGCTCAGTTACTAAAGTAATTAAGAATGAATGAACTTATTAGTCTTCCATTGTATTTCCTCTAAGCAGCACAGCTCTCCTTTCTTTGTATCAAATCCCACTCTCATTCAAACCCAAAGACCATGCTCTAAGTATTTTAAACATAGCACACTGTAACAAACACCGGACTAAATGCCTTTAATTTTTATGTTTAAGTGCTGCTGCTTACAACACTAAGGGAGATTCAGTTAATGTTGTTCAGAAGCTTAACAGAAATCCCAGTGTTTATACACAGCACAGAAACTTGTCCTTTAGAGTGTAAAATTTCCATTGACTTCAACAGAAGTTAATTGTGTGTATTTGAGAGAAAACTGGATAGTCAGGTTGTTTCTCTGAGAGCTGTAACTGAAGATCTTTAAGGTACTTTTATTCCCAAGCAGCACACGAGTGTCACAGTCCTGGTTTAGATCAGCAGGATTGTGCCAGGTTTACCAAGCATTTCATATAATACCTGTATCTCTCTGCAAATTAAGACTATGTACACAAACAACAGATTTAAAAGACCTCAGTTCTCCTCACAGTGATCTGTTCAGAAAAGAAAGATTCTGTTCCATGTTGAACTGAGATACCTTGAAATTTACTTTTATCCTGAAACCAAATGGAAATGAAGACATTACCTGAATCCTGGAAATCACAGAGAACTGCACAGAAAGCTCCTAAGAATGACTGTGGTAAGTGACTGTTGCACTTAGTTATCTGTTTATAACTAAAACGAGTCATTAATAGTTACTGGATAAAAAGCAAAACATCCACATGCTATTTATATACAAGTCAGAACATGGTGCTAAAATTAAGGGTAAAATCAGGGCGGGATGAAACACCCCGCAAGGCACTTACTCTTCCGATCCCCCTGTGCAAACTGGATTTCTATTTGCCTTCCACAGATCCACTTTCGATCCAAATTATGGAGAGCATCCTCTGCATCACGGACATCTTCGAATGTGGGGAGTGTTAAGGTACTTGGGAATTTGAGCAGTTTACACATTTGGTATTAAAAATAAAAACCAGTTCTTTTCTAATTTTACAGGTGGCTTTTTTTTCGAGTTCTTTTGTCATGCTACACTAGTGAGTTATTTCTTTTTTAATTAACCACCAGCTGAGAACTCCTATAATAAAATTAAAGTCTCATAATATGACCGTGAACTTATCCATCAGCAAGCAGTTGCTATGTGATACTCCAACTTTTCTCTTCTCCCACCTGTACTTATGCAAAGAAAATAACGGTATCCTTTTTCAAATACACTTATTAATGGTCATTTAGTTCTCTCCACTGCGCTGAGTTTATTAAAATTAAACCCTGTTCTTCAATTATGTTGGAGGTACCAACAGCAAATATCAATGTTAGAACTGGGATTGAGCTTTACCAACTGGTTTTAGAATTTCTGTGTGTACAGACCTTGCCCAGGCTGAGGTAAGAGCAGACCCTGCCAGCCCTGCACTGTCAGTCAGGGCCAACGTGCAGGGTCAGACATTCATTTTCATGCTGTAATTTGCACACCTGCTCCAGCTACGGGACCCAAAGCAGGGAGTTCCCTTCTCCTCGAGGCAACTCAGTTCTCAGCAGCATCAGCTCTGCAGAGGAGAAACTGCCCTGCCGTAGCATCTCCCTCGATAAACCCCGTTTCATTCAGACCACAGTTACAGGAGCACTCACAAGAGAAATATTACAGGTTTTGTCAATGGACTAAACCAGAATAATTCATCAAATTACTGCTTACGTGACAGACAGAAGAAAAACTGTTATTCTGTAGGATACATCAGGTATGACTCCTTTAATCTTGGCCACCATTCAACTTCATCTTGACCTTTAACTCTTTAAGTGCTTGTCAGAAGGACTTGTCATGAGATGCTTGGCCAAAAATGACAGATGGCTTTATCTTTTACTTTGAAAAACAACCTTTTCCCCCTTTTGCAGATAAAGCGAAGCTTTGTCTCCCATTATGGCTTGTCCTTCTTCCAGCTTTTCTTTATTTTTTCTTTTCCCAAACTCTCCCTTCTCTTCAAGCCTGATCCTTAAGAGGTCTTTGGCTTGTCTACTTGCCTTAATTGTTGAACTCTACTCTAAAGGTTCTTTCATGCTTTCTCTTTGGGGTCGCCATTACTGTACAGCTTTACATTCTGAGGCAACAACAGAGGACAGCAAATTAGGGGACAATATTAGAGAAAGAAGTTCACCTCATTTTTTAAACAATCTGATTTTGATCAAGTGATTCCAGTTTCCATTTGTTAAATTAACAGTATATTATATTGGAACACCAGCCACATTTTGCTAAGCACAACTTCACTTACACACCAGCGATAATTAAAACGTGGCAGACAATCTTGAGTTAGTGATAAATTTGCATTTAAATCACATAATATTAATTTCAGTGACATAAGCAAGCTTTTATATTACTGGACTTGATTTAAGTTTTGCAAAAAAAAAAAAAAAAAAAAAGAAAGGCAAAGAACAATCGAGAGAAGTTAATCTTCAAAAATAACGAAACACCACGACATAAGTAAGACACTTATTAGATACAACACAAAAGTAAACTGCTTTTTCATTTAGATTGGTTACCTCTTACACAAACTTGAATTTCAAACGTCAACACCCCTCACTAATGAGCCATCTGAAGAAAGGATATTGAACATAAGCAAATCCTCTGGGACGGCGGGTGTAGAAGTCAAGTGGAACGTAAACATCAACTATAGGCCCATAACGACCAAATTCCCGGCGCAAATCTTCAGACCTGGAACATCACAAACAGCTTAGATGGGTTTTCTCACTGTTTAAAGTGTTGAAAAACATGCAGCAAATTTTAAAAAAAATTTTAAAAAATCTACAATCAGTATGACCAACTCTGGTTTTTGGAAGCAGGTGGGAGAGGAGGAAAGCAGCAAAACATTTTTTGGGGGTGGGGAAAGAAGCGTTTGAGCAATTCAGAGCTGGAAGAACAGCAGGATTCTGTGAATCACTCCAGACTCAGGATGGTCAAGATACACCCTGGCAGTTGGAAACCAGCCTTCAGCATAACTCAAAAAGGAAGTACCAACTGAGGAGCGATGCCCATCAGTTAATTCAATGCAGGAGGTACCAGCACAGGGCAGGAAAAAACAGGAAAAAAAGGACTGTTAAGAATTATTATTATTATTACTCAAGTACCTCACGTAGCTCAACAGTCATTCTGCAACACCCAAACATCAATTATAAGATCCAAATAAACATTACAAGAATAAACCAGTCACCCCAACTCATTTGCATAGAATAATCAATACTTACAACCACATCAAATAGAACAGATCTCGAGTGAGCAACCACTCGTGCCCTCAGGCCAGTTTTTCCAAGGAATTGGCTTTAGAGAGCTGGGACAAAACTGTCCAAGTGCAACTATCCCTGGAACAACCACTCTCTCCCCAACACAGAGGTTTCTTAATCACATCAGCTTCTTTACATGTACTTTTGTGACATTTGAGGACAAAAACCTGTATGAGAAAGACTAATATAATACCATATTTAGAGGGTATAATGAGTCAGTGCTGGTTTTTTAGTATTTTTACATTTCTCTTTTTCATCAGTTGGGAAACAAATCTCCACATGGTCAATGCTGGCAGAAGGGAACTACAACAACCAGCCCTGAGATCTCACAATGAAACCATCTCCAGGAACGCTGTGCTACCTAATCACAACTTTATGGTGAAGCCTCAACAGGATGCACATTATTTTAAAGCATTTGGAAGCAATCGTCCCCCTCAACTGCTCTTACAGTAAATTAAACGACTGGAAAGAGAAAGTTCATGAAAAAAAAAAAAAAGTTGATTTTGAAGCGATTTACACTTTGGATCACAAGGTTCCTAATTCATTCCATTCCGCCGTGCCCACGCTGCTGTTATTTGCTGAGCAACTTCGATACAAGTCGCCCAGGCAGAGAGTTGGAAAACTTGCATTTTATAGAACTGTATCTCACAAGGGACCTCCACAAAAATGCTACCAAAAAAATCTACAACACGGGAGTGCTTTGACACGGGCATTCCACACCAAAATGCTCTGTATATGTGCCACGACCGACAACACTAAGGGGACACGACGAACTGCAAGAGGAATGGAGGAAACTAGCAGCTTAATGAAAACACCTAAATAAGAACCCAGGCGACGCGCACTTCGAGGTGATTTTAATTCCCTGTGAGGAGTTCTCTCACTGCACGTTCTCAGCCCTCACAGGGTCTCGCTACATCGCGGTTATAACAGAACGAGCGGCGCTTCCCCCGCTCCGTCCTGAGCGCTTAACGCAGAACATCCCACCCGAACCGGCCGCGGCTCCCGCGCTAACGGACCCGGCCACGCCAGGCGTTTTGGGGCACTGTATTTAACAACAGTCCTGCGTTTCCAAAAGCAGCATTCCCGGCTCCAGTGCGCCAACATCCCGCCTGGAATCTCCCGCTCAGCGGCGGGTGCGGGAGTCTCCACTCTCTCGCGGCCCAGCTTTGTTCTGCCCAGCAAGGCGCCGTTTGGGAAAACGGGATCCTCGTGCAGGAGGCGGGGAACGGGCAGCACGGCGAGGAGCGCCCGCAGGGGGATGGATGGCGGGGAGAGCGGAGGGGAAGGAGCCGGGAGTGCGGCGGGGAGGGAGGGAGGGAAGGAGGGAGCGGGCCGGGCCCGCTGCGGGGGGACCCCCGCGCGCGCGCGGCCTAGCGAGCCCGCCAAAGCCTGCGCGGGCCCCCCCGCTCCGCCCCCACTCACCGGGTGTCGTCGGCCACGTTCCGCACGAAGAGCGAGGTGTTGGGGGGCCGCAGGTAGCGGGACATGTCGGCGTCGGCGGCGAAGGGGGAGGAAGGAAGGAGGGAAGGAAGGAAGGAAGGAAGGAGGGAGAGAGAGAGAGAGAGGGCGGCGCGGCGGGAGCGGCTGAGGCGGCCTGAGGGGAGCTGCACCGCCCGCCCGCCCGCCCGCGCGCCGCCTCTCGCGAGACTTCCCGCGCGCGCGGGGGCTTCCGGCGAGAGCGGAGCGCGGCGCCAAAACCTGCCCCCTTCCCTGTCGGACGGATCCGCTGTGCGCATGCGCCGGACCCGGGTCGCTTTTCCCGCCCAAAAGGAGCGGGAAGGGGGCGAAGGAGGACAAGATGGCGGACGGGCCCACCCCTGAGGGGTCGCAGGGCCGCAGCCTCACGCAGCTGCTTCAGGGCGCTGTGGCCCCCTCCTGTGCGCTCCTGTGTGCTCTGTAATACATGTACTCCTATAATATGTCCTCCTGTGCACTCCTGCACAGCAAACTGGGACAGCTTCAACCTACACAGCCCCCTTCCCTCGCTCAAGAGCAACGAACCCGATTTTTGTGTTCCACGCCGTTACCCGCAGGAACTTTTATCCTGCTGTTTGCACAGGACCAGCCCTGTTTCGCTAAAGCCATTTGTGTGATGAAAAAAAAATACAGTAGGAGGGTGGAGAGATTGTTTCTTGCCATCCTCGTGTGACTCGCCACGTACAGGAGGAGAAATGGCAGATCTGTGACTGAACAGTCACAGGATTTGAGGAAGGGTTCAATGAAGGGGGTTTACATTTCATGTGAGGGATTTTCAGCAAATCTGCTGCTGGGACTGAAAGACTTGGAGTTGTTGCAGCCCTGGTGTCTGTCGCTAGTGGATTTTCACTTTTTTTCTCTTCTTTAATATTCATGAATGAAAACTGGTGGGTGGACATGGCTGTTCCTATGCTGGCAATATCTCACGCTCAAAATCGCACGGGGTTTACAGTTTTTGAGTGACAGATGAAGTTCAATCACACACACAGGAGGTGCGTGTCAGCTACATACACCACTCTTCCAAAAAAAAAAAAAAAAAAAAAAAAAAAAAAAAAAAGAAAAAAAAAAAAGAGGAATTTATGGCAATTGTACACTCAGTGGTCTGTTCAGGACTGCAGAAGAGAGATGGGAGTTGCTGAATTTATAGTAGTTTCAAATTAAAATGGCTTAGTATCAGTTAAAGTTCTAAACAGGATTAGTGTGTTTTTAGTGTGTAGTATCTACAATCTGTAACTTAAATCCCCTTTGTATTCCAGTTGCCATCAACTGAGGTTGAATAAATGTGAGTTTGCCAGGCAGTTTATGTGTCAAGTGTGCTGGGAATATTTAGGTAGGTACTGAACCGAAATAACACCTTCATGTTTCTTTTCAAAGCAAACACACATATAGACATTGTGCTTTACCATCACTCCCGTTTTAAATCATCAAAGCAAATCGCTGTTGTTCTGTAACAGGCTTTAAATGAGTAATAAATGATCCCTGCATTTAGAAATCAACGCCAAGTGTCTCGTATTTTCTATCCTACAGTTTACAGACGCAGCGTTTGATCGGCGTCCTGTGAAGCTGCCGTTGGAACACCAAGCTGTGTGTTTGGTTTCAGGGTGCAAGTTTGCAGCAGTTACCCAGCAACTCCCAAACAATGGTGGTGAGCTCTTGGCTGGCTTTTGGCCTCCTCCTCCCTGAGTTTTACCAGCCTTGATTTCTCTGCTGTCGATCTTATTTCTTCTGTGCAAACTCCCGTGGAATTTAATTCTGCCTGCAAAAGTCTCCTTAGCATCAGAACTGCCTGGGAAGCAGAATGAACACAATGATCCTTTATGCCAGTAAAACTCCCAGTGAGAACAGCCTTGTCCCACAATAAGAATACACTTCCCAAATTGCTTGTGCCTCATTTTGTTTTGGTTAATTGTACTCACATGCAGTTCAGTTTAAGAACAGGCACCCTGTTATTACTTTGTTACTGGCTGTTAAATACATAACAGCTTTTTAAAATACCACTGTTTCTATTCCTGTGCCATGTGGCGCAAGATCAGCCCAACAAATGTCTGATTGTTCTTTGCTGGCCAGGTTATAAAGGAGTTTGGTAGAAGATTAAACTTTATTAGACACACAAACTGAAGCCGAGCACATTTGGAGAGTATGGAAGAAATCAAGAAGCATTTCTATAGCTTTTGTTTGCTCCCAAGGGATATTGTGATTAACTGAAATGATTTAATCATGATTAATCATGATTTATGTCCGGGGTTGGTTGTTTGGGAGTCAAATTTCTGTCACTTCTGTCAGAGCACTCAGGGAAAACAGTCCTATAACAATGGGAAGTGATACAGGTGTGAAAGGAGAGCAGAAATCATAATTATTTCCTGTACTGCTTTTTCAGACAACAAAGATCACACCTTGTGGAAAGTGCACTTTATTTCAGGTATGTAAAGGTATCACAAAAGAGATGATCTGTCTTTAAACTTTCTTGCTTCTTCTGACCAGTGTTACTCCACCAGATGTTATAGTCTGTAGAAGACAAATATGCATAATTTGTTTTACCATTTAGACTTAAGGAAACCTATTTATAGCTAAGTGACATTTCTGTAATTCATGTATAAATCCATCTTGGTCCTCAGGAAAATACATTCACAATACCTGCCCATAAATATGACATTCAAACCAGGGAAAAATGTTTACAGAACCAGCTGTGAAGACAGAAAATCTAAATATAAATGCCATCATTGACACCATTTTATTGCTATCTTGCTTACCTAATGTTAGAAAAGTAGTTTTCTAACTCAAATGTTATTAAATTCCTTTGGACCTTACACCCTCTAAGACCTTAGGAAATTGTGTGGTCAAACCATATAATTTTCTGGAATTAGTTGTGCTCTTTGGATCCATCTTTACCCAAGGGGACACTTGGTAGAAGCCCGAGGAGCTTCGCTGTAGAGCAAAACTCTTGGTCAGCACTAAATAATTTAGAGCTGAAGAACTCTGAAGAATTGAGGTGGAATGTAAATGTTCAGGTTTGACTCAGCCCTTCCTGGCCTTTCAGAGATGCTGCTGGAGCCGAAGATGAGGGGGGGGACACACTGCTATGGTAATCCAGGGAATTTCTAAGGAGTCTTCCAGCTGCTCAGGAGCTAAAACCCTTCACACTTCAGTGCCTGCAATTGGCCCCAGGGGAGTAAAAAATACTAATAGTGTTTCCCACTATCTGGTGGGTTTGATATCTTCAAATTCTGTACCTGCAGATGTGGGCACTCTAAGGAATTCTGCAAGAAATGTAATTTTGGGGCCAGGATTTTGAGCCTGCGCTGAGAGCTATTCAACCTTTTTTTTCCTTCAGCATGTTTCTTAATGTTCTTAATTGTGTCATTTCCTAACACTTACCTCCACCATTTCATTTCCTTTCACTTCTTGCTCGTGAGAGAATTTGTCTGATTTGCAAACGAGCTTCCCGTTGACCAAGTTCACAGTGCACTGTCGGGACACAGATTTTTTGGAACTCAGTTACAATCAGGACCAGCAAATAGAAAATAAATGACACTGATGTTTCCTCATCACATCAGAACGGGAGCTTTAGAAGGAACCTTCCTGAAATGAATTACCTTCAGCTTCCTGCCATCCATGGTGGTGATATCAGCCTCTTTTCCCAGTGTGAAGGAGTTGGTTACGGATTGCTTGGGTGTTTTGGATGTCACGACGAAGTCATTTCCCTTTTGCTGTATCTCGACAACAGGCTTGATGTCTTTGGCCACTTTGATGATGTCATCTGGCAGCCCTGGAGAAACGGGGAAAACAGGATTTTATTTTTTTTTTTTTGTTATGGAGCAGCTGTGTTGGTAGGAAACAGCAAATTCTTTTCTCCGGTAAAGGCACAAAAGGCACAAACCAATCACAGAAAGTGGTATCCAAGCTAAAAACCAAATCCAGCTTCACACATGATAAGCACACACAGTTCCTGACCAGATATCACATATATTAATCACTGGTGATTAATTGCAGAGAGGGCCTGACCACCAGGAGCACTTTGGGAAGCTGAACATCTCATCAACAGCTTATTTCTAGTTAAATATGTTTATAAAGTTACATGTTAATCAACACAAGTGCATCTCTGGCATAGCTCTTCTTCCTTGAGGAACTCATCTACCACCAAAATGAGAATTTGGGAGTTATCTGTAACCCTTCTCCATCAATTGTGATGATTTTCAATCTCTTTTCAAGCCCGAGTTAGATATAACAGACCCAACCAGGCAGTGTGGGAGGGGGGAAGTTTACCACAGAAAGAAAAGCCAAAAAACAACCCCCAAAAGCTGTGATGCCACGTGTGGGGTACCAAACGGCTTTCAGGAGGAACCAGGCACTTACCAAGAGCTTTGAGGAAGGGCTCGAGGTTCTCCTGAGCGTAGACCTGCCAGGTCCCGGCGAACGCCATCGTGTGACACCCGGCGAGGGCTCTCCCCGCTCCTTGGGATGCTATTTATGGAAAGGGGGAAAGGCCAGCCCAAATTGGCAGGTGGCTAATTATTAACTGGGAAATAGCAATTATTAATCATTTATTTGTTTTTAATGATGGTAACCTCCAGTTCGTTCTGCTCCGTGGAAAGCCTCACCTTGAGGGTCGGGGTGTTTGGGTCACTGACCCCGGCTCTAATTATCCATAATTGTTGGGGAAGCGTTGCAAAGCTTCATTTGTTGTCTTTTTGTTCCCAGCTTCTCTGTTTTGTACATTTGACTGGGTTTCGAATAGAATCTTTCAGATTAAATGCCATAATTTGCAATAGGTTGAGGTCCTTACTGTTGCACCGCAGGAACTTCCTAATTATCACAATATTCTCTTGAGCCTTAAATGGTGAATAGTCAAGTAATAAAATCCACAGCTATTTCCTCCAAAACTGTGGGTCTCCAATTGCTGGAGGTCAGGGAAAATCATGCTGGAGTGGGACATCAGTTATGACTTTATCCAGTAGATGTCAGTAATGTGCATCTAAATCTGAATTAAATTCAGTTTATTGTTGCTGGTTTTTCATAAGCACTGCGTACACAGGGGATAAAAGGTAAAATAAAACATGGCACATTGCTTGGAGAGTGAATGCAGGAGGTAGATAGGATGTCTTATTTTTCTTCTCATCAATTGCACCAGGAATTCTCACTCG